GGGCTCCTTTTGCCTCAATAACTGCAGTAATGCGGCGTGGCATGGACTCGATCAGTCTGTGGCACTGCTCAGGTGTTATGAGAGCCCAGGTTGCTCTGATAGTCGTCTTCAGCTCCTCTGCATTGTTGGGTCTAGCGTATTGCATCCTCCGCTTCACAATACCCCATAGATTTTCTATGGGGTTAAGGTCAGGCGAGTTTGCTGGCCAATCAAGGACAGGGATACCATGGTCCTTGAACCAGGTGCTGGTGGTTTTGGCACTGTGTGCAGGTGCCAAGTCCTGTTGAAAGGTGAAGTCTGCATCCCCATAAAGTTGGTCAGCAGCAGGAAGCATGAAGTGCTCTAAAACTTCCTGGTAGATGGCTGCATTGACCCTGGACCTCAGGAAACAGAGTGGGCCAACACCGGCAGATGACATGGCACCCCACACCATCACTGACGGTGGAAACTTTACACTGGACCTCATGCAACGTGGATTCTGTGCTTCTCCGCTCTTCCTCCAGACTCTGGGTCCTTGATTTCCAAAGGAAATGCAGAACTTGCTTTCATCAGAAAACATAACTTTGGACCACTCAGCATCAGTCCAGTCCTTTTTGTCCTTGGCCCAGGCGAGACGCTTCTTGCGCTGTTTCTTGTTCAAGAGTGGCTTGACACACGGAATGCGACACCTGAATCCCATGTCTTTCATGAGTCTCCTCGTGGTGGTTCTTGAAGCGCTGACTCCAGCTGCAGTCCACTCTTTGTGGATCTCCCCCACATTTTTGAATGGGTTTGTCGTCACAATTCTCTGCAGGGTGCGGTTATCCCTAGAGCTTGTACACTTTTTTCTACCACATTTTTTCCGTCCCTTCGCCTGTCTGTTAATGTGCTTGGACACAGAGCTCTGCGAACAGCCAGCTTCTTTAGCAATCACCTTTTGTGTCTTGCCCTCCTTGTGCAAGGTGTCAATGATTGTCTTTTGGACAGCTGTTAAGTCAGAAGTCTTCCCCATGATTGTGGTGCCTTCAAAACAAGACTGAGGGACCTTTTAAAGGCCTTTGCAGGTGTTTTGAGTAAATCAGCTGTTTAGAGTGGCAGCAGGTGTCTTCTATATTCAGCCTTTTCAGAATATTCTAATTTTTTGAGATACCAAATTTGGAGTTTTCATTAGTTGTCACTTATGAATATCAAATTTAAATGTAATGAACATTGGAAATACATTGGTCTGTGTGCATTGCATGAATATAATGTACAAGTTTCACGTTTTGAATGGAATTACTGAAATATTTTCAACCTTTTGATGATATTCTAATTTACTGGCCAGCACCTGTATATCAAAGTGCAACACACACCACAAAAGAAGTGTAGCAAAAGCAGGGGATCCTGTTACTGACCTGAGAGTGACAGATGTAGGACGAACGAGGACTACGAATAAAATCCAAAATAAAGGTAGTGTCCTGTCAGCATTCAGGAAAAGCATAACCCAAGATTAAACACCCAGAGCACAGCAACAGGAACATGAAGATGGAAAATTACGGACAAAAGCAGAAAACCCCACACCAGCAAAAAGCAGCTGTTTTGTTGAACAATTTTATGCTTTTGATTATGTTTTAGAAGAAAAAATGCATTTGCTCATATGTACTGATTTAATTCTCACCTTGTGAGGACTGTCCACATACGTAGAAGCTGTAGCAACAGCTGAGAGCTCCCCTCCAGTTGTTGAGGGCTTAGTTTCCTCCAGTGTCCTGATGGGAAACACCATGATGGTTTATGTGTGTGCATGGGTGAATGATTGATTGTGTTGTGCGCCATGGGTGGTTGTAGAACCCTAGAAGGCGCTATATCAAATACAGGTCATTCAATATGCAGCAGGTTAATGTGCCAGCATTCACTCCCATAAAGACACATACTTTTGGTTCTGCTCCATTTCTAGCAGAGCTGTCAAAGCTGATGCTCCTCTTTTTCCCTGTGGCTGTGCCACAGGTTCTGTTGGATACGGAGGAAGAGGACTGGCAACCTGTAGTCCTTTCAAAGACGTGCCCTTCTGCTGTAAGAGACCAGAGAGACGTTGCAGAAAACAGAACATCAGTACATCATTTGTGTTACTGTTTGAATGCTGTTAAGCATTCAAACTATTGTTTTCCTGTTTCAGATTCCTTATGTTCTTTAGCACTTAACTACTTCTGCAGTTATTCAGCTATAACAGCAAATATATCACAATGGTCAGTTTTCACCTAAGACCTTCAGTACTCAAATATTTTATACTTTTTGAGATTGTCAGCTTTTTCTGCCATTTTTGTCCCACTGGAATACATGGAAAAAACGTGAAATTCTCAGATTTTCACAAAATAATTTCAGCAGTTTGAACTTTAACTACTTTGGCATACTTGAACCAAGAGACTTCCATTTTCGTTTATAATGGCAAGGCATCCAGCCACTTCCCTATGACTCAGTTCCACGATATCGTTGACCCTTTTTGTATAATGACTCAGACACCAACCAGCCCCAAACATAAGGATTTTCAGTTTTAGCCAGAAGGAAGAAAGGAAGGAATGATTGAATGAATTAATGAATACACTTTACAGAAAACCAAGACTGGAACTACTCACTCACCCAATCACTCACTCGCTCACTCACTCACCCATTCACTCACAAACTCGCTCACTCAACCTTTACTCATTCATCACTCACTCGCTCTCAAATGTCCCACAAGCACCTTTATTATTTGAATGCTGTTAAGCATATGCTGCTAAATTCACAGTTCAGCTAATGGTGAAAATGTAACTACCTATTGTAGCGTGATGAAGGTTCTCTAATTTGTGCCAAAGGTCACATTTGCCCAGCTGGGTCAAGCTGGGTCAAACAGTACTTTGAATCCACAGATTAAAGCCCAAGGAGCCACGACGTCTAGCCAAGATCATAACATGTTCTGCTGTTCCGTCAGAAGAAGGACACTTCGAGCCACGATGATAATAATTAAATAATAATTAATATTTAATTGATTTTATTACTGTTTAAACAATCATTTCCACATGATCACTTTGCTCATTATAAAGGTATCTTTATAGCATGAAATTGATTATTATGCTTTGGGTATTATAATAATAATTATTATAATGACTAAAGATGTGTTCAGCAAAGAAGACCTTCACCCTGTTCAGCCAACACAGAGTTCAGATAAACAATAACTGCAGCACATGTTTGGACGCATGACCAAGCTTTCTTCCGGAGAGAGTGGGAGTGTTCTGAGAGAGTTTGGTAAAAACTAACCATCACAGATTCCACGTCCAGTTCTGAACGAGACATCTTCCTGAGGAGCCAGGGACGGCCGCCCTGCTGGCCTCTGCCAGCTGTTCTGTCAAGCCGACGAGAATGGCTAAAGAACAAACGAACCGTAAACCAGCTAACGCAAGACTCTCCCAGAGTCATTGATTTCTGAAGTTAAATTAAATACGAGAACGTGCATCTGCCAAACGCTTCGTACAGCCGTGAACCCAGGACATCTCTGGACCGGACCATCGGCACTTGCGTCTACTCTACCAGCCGAAGTGCCACCTTGGATGAAACCATCCTCCTGATGTCCGGATCCACAAAGGGGGCCCTATTTGGGTGAGGTAGAACACGATAGATGACGTTTGATGCTGTTTTCTCTAAAAATAACTCAGTTATCTGCAAAACATCATTTCATCCAGAACACCTTCCATTCCCTCTGAAAGAAACCTTCTCAGAACTGCATCCACGCATCCAAAACTCATCATTCTCATTTTTAGCTCCATCCAACACAGGTTTGTTTTTAAACAAAGTTTAATATCAAAGTTGTTAAGGATTGTCATCAAAATTCCCATTTATGAATTGTCATTTTATGATTGTCGTTTCAAATCTTTCAGTTTAAAATAGTTTGTTAGTAAATAAATTTCATTTTTAAACTTGCCTCATTATTGAAACGAAACACAGAAAAGGGTTGCATTTCCAGTTTATCGAATGAAAAGAATCTTACTGAATCTTCTGTTTAATAAATAAACTTTGATTATTCATTTAAGCATCTTAAATTAATATTTCACACCATTACATTGATTGAATTTGGATCGAGCCATCAGGTAGGTATTTCACACCATTACACTATTCCTATTCAAATTCCAGCTGTTAAATATTTCAGCTTAGTAGTTATTTTTGCTTCTTACTCTTCAAACACATTCAGTTCATTTTGACATTTTAGCTTAGTTTAAACTATTATTATTACCATTACTATACACCTATTACTCTTACTATTATTAAACTTTTCCAACTCAAACACCAGCTGTTTAAACATTTCAGCTGTCCAGTTTTTTTAAACTATGTTCAGAGATTTCCATTTTCTGCTGTTGAGGATATTTTTTCTCAACTCTTCACCAACTTTCTGGACTTTCTTACACTTGTTAGTGAATTTTGCTCTTAAATCTTCATATGCATTCAGCTCATTTAGAAAATTTAGCTTAGTTTGAGTTTCAGCTCAGCTATTCAGCAGCTTCAGCTATCAGTTTCAGAATTCAGCATTCAAACAGCATTTCTGTAAGAAATGCAATTCATCTGCTGCATGGTGGTGCAGTTGTTAGCAATGTTGCCTCGCAGCAAGAAGGTTGCAGGTTCGAAACCCTGCTGCGGACATTCTGCGTGGAGTTGCGTGTTCTCCCCATGCACGAATGGGTTTCCTCCGGGTACTCCGGTTTCCCCCACAGACCACAGCATGCCCTGTAGGTTAACAACTGTACGTCGCTTTGGATAAAAGTGTCTGCCAAATAAATAAACATAAACATCTAGTTTATATTAAAGTGCTCAGTCAAGGGAGGAAGGAATACAACAACAGTACAGAATTATATTTTACTTCACTCAACATGTAACTAGGAAAAAAAATCACAAGAGCCTTACCCGGATAATCCTGTCAGAGCGATGACGTCTTCGTATGCGGTTGAGGCCTTCCAGGAAGCGAATAAAGCCGTCCAACAAGGCCCAGTCCCAACAGCCATACATTCCAGAACCACCTCCATCACCATACACATCCCAGTGCCCTTCTCCATCAGCAACCCTTCGGGCCCCACCAGTTGGCAGCAACAGAAAGCGAGTCCTCCAGAATTTCAGCGAATCAATCAGGCTGGTACAGGGAGAGAGGGAGGTTCACATGATTTTAATGCCTACCACTTTTACAGTGTGGAATCTCTGGTTCATACAGGGCCCAGGTGTTCACCAGAATTCTTTCTGTTTATGCTTCTCCTGTTCCTATCTCACATCCTGCTGATAGGCCATCCATTGAGATGAAAGACGGCACAGATACCTGTAGCTAGTGCAAAATGTTGACATGCTGCTCAGCTACGATCAAAGGACACTTTTTAAAAAAAACGTTTCTGCCAACTGGCTTCTTTGGCTAATCAGATGGATCCTGGGCAGTCAGATCTGGTTTGCATCAGAGTGCCAGCATTTCTACGTCAGGTTACGTGCAGTAGGAGGTACCGAGTCATCTTGGAAAGCAAGGTGGAAGCATAGTCAGTGTGCATGCCATCTGCCCTGGCTCTTGGGCTGATTGGTTCCATGCATTTGGCCCAGAGGTTTGTGTGGATGCCCTGTGGTGATTGCTCTTGTGTTTCAACTGGTGTCTTATGGGCTCGACACACGGGAGGCGACATCGCCTCTCCTCCATTCATTTTCAATGAGACGTGCGCGACAAAGCGATAATCGCGGGTCTCCCTCCTACCAGGCGAAACGCGAAAAACGTGCGTGTGAAATTTTGCGCTCATGCACGTCGTACACAGGCGACCCAGCGACGCGATCCCAGAAAGTTGAAACATTTTCAAATTTTCATCGCTGTCGCTCGGACGAGGACCAATCAACGGAGGTTTCATTCACTGACCAATGAGCAGACAGGACGCACCGTACATCTCCGAGCAAACATGGAGGAGAAGTTGATTATTATGTTTTATAGTAAAATCAGAAGTAAGATTTCACATAACTCTAGCAGCACCTTGTGAAACATCATATCTACCGCTTTATTAACTCTGAACCGCTTAAATAACCTTAATTCCCTCCAACCTGACACAGCCAAACAACACAACGGAAGTTTCGATTTCGCCATGGAACAGAACGCGTAGACGGTTTTGCCGCTGCCGCGGGTCGCCTCCCGTGTGTCAGGTAATAAAAGCGACGGTGACAAATTTTGCTGATCGCGGTCGTTTGTCGCCTCCCGTGTGTCGTACCCATTATCCCCATGGTGGGGGGGAGCTCAATGTCCAGTTCGCTCTGAAAGCCAGCATGGCTTTGTGTTTACTAGGGGTGGGAATTGATACCCTTTTATCAATATCAATGCCATTGTCAATTCTGTCTATCAATACAATTTCTTCTCATTTCCCTTATCAATTCCGGAGAAGTTTAATAGGTGGCAAAAAATTTACTGAACATGGTCTTCTGCATAACTGTCAGTAAATTTATGATAAATGATGAATTGTACCTGATATGGTTTGGAAAAATCTTTCCAAATGTTCTCTCAAATAAACAAATTTACTAACTTCATTTCTCCTATTCGTTTTCTCTCTCGCTTTCCCTACATTTTCTAATCACAATTTTTTTTTCATTTTAAATCTAGCCATCCATTCATTTTTATCCGGAGTCGGGTCGTGGGGGCAGCAGCCCAAGCCAAGATGCCCAGACTTCCCTCTCCCAAACCACTTGGACCAGCTCCTCCAGGGGAACCTCAAGGTGTTCCCTGGCCAGGTGAAAGACATAGTCCCTCCGACGTGTCCCGGGCATTCCCTTGGGTCTACTCCCAGTTGGATGTGCCCAAAAAACCTCACCAGGGAGGCATCCAGGAGGCATCCTGACCAGATGTCTGAGCCACCACAACTGGCTCCTCTGGACGTGGAGGAGCAGCGGGTCTACTCTGAGCCCCTCCCGGATGACCGAGCTTCTCACCCTATCTCTAAGGGAGAGCCCAGCCACCCTGCGGAGAAAACTCATTTCAGCTGCTTGTATCTGCAATCTCGTTCTTTTGGTCACTACCCAAAGCTCATGACCATAGGTGAGGGTAGGAACTAGAGGTGCTGAAAAAAATCGATTCAAGTCTGAATCGGGATTCTTATTTATTAAGATTCAGAATCGATTCACAAAGATTCAGAATCAATTCCAAGAACTGAAATGTTTGGCATGTTACAGGTTTGAGATGCACTTTTTTGATCTTTGTTAGGAGAGTCAGTACTCCGTTTACTTTTGTGCTCCCATAGATTGAGATGAATTATGTTTGAATCTGCTGATAAGAGGGCACTTGAATGTCATTTTTTCCATTCTCAGAAATTTGAGATATTCTCATATTTATTTTCTAAGTTGATAAACGAGTACTCAGGATTACTCATGTAACTTGTTTCTACACATACTTGATAAGTATTTGACCGTAATACTTTCAATGCTACCATTAGGTAACTACAGATTTGTTATAGTTTACAAGGTAAGCAAAAATAAATGTTGCCTTTTGGTCAAAACATTGTTTCTGTTTACAGTTTTAGAATCGCTTTATCACTTGTAAATTTGCATTTTTGGAGCATGACCAGTTTAGTCAAATAAAAATGCTCCATATCTTTAACTAACTTGTACAACAAAGTAGTTCATCCTGGAGCTGACACTCTTTGTTAATACTGATTGTGAATCGATTTAAATCGAGAATCGATTCTGAATCGAATCGGCACCCCGAGAATAGGAATCGAATAAAATCGTGAGTTGCTCTAAGATTCACAGCCCTAGTAGGAACGCAGATCGACCGGTAAATCGAGAGCTTTTCCTTCTGACTCAGCTCTCTCTTCACCACGGCAGACCGGTACAACGCCCGCATCACTGCAGACGCAGCACCAATCCGCCCATCGACCTCACGCTCCAGTTTTCCCTCGCTCGTGAACAAGACCCCGAGATAAACTTATTCTCTTGGGGCAGGACCTCATCCCTGACCTGGAGAAGGAATTCTACCCTTTTCAGAGGAGCCGATTCTCATCCCAGCTGCGAACCACTCCAGCGAAAGCTGAAGATCACTTCATGTTGAACATATTTTAAAATAATTTTTATATTAAAAATGTTTTGTTTTTGTGAAACGCCTCATGATTTTTATCTTGAAGACTCCATCCATCCGTCCGTCCGTCCGTCCGTCCATCCATCCATCCATCCATCCATCCATGCTCCTTGTGAGAGCAGAGTCACCTCCTTGTTTGGTGCTGTGTTGCTGAAGCTTTTCCAAGATAGGTGTTGTCCTGAAAAGAGTATGCCTGCTGAAATTTGCATGCCCTGTTGAGGGAAGGGGCATCCAGCTTCATGTTGACAATGTAAACAATTAGAAATATGAGTAACGAAGCAGATTTGTAAATTTGTATTATTGACATGTTCCTTATTTGTGTGCTTCCTTACAAAACGATGGTTTATGGGCACATGAAAAAAGAAATGATGGTTTTAACATGTTTTATTTGAACATATTGAGACAAATCTTTAAAGGCTTGTGTAAAAACACATTTTCCGTTCCCTGGTCTGTAATTTTAGATCACGTTCCTGCAGCAAAATAGTTAAGCAAGCAGAAAAAATAATATTAAAAATACTCACTAAAACAGTCTCAAATGTGCCAAAAACTTCAATTATTTCATCATTGGCTTTTTTAACCAGCCTGTAAACATGTTGATTTCTGGTGTGAAGTTGGCATTTTTAATATGGGAGTCGATGAGAATTCTGGTGCCAGCTCACAACGAATGAGGGTGGAGCTGCAATTTGTGTCACTTCCTTGTTGACTTTGTCTGTGCAAGACATGTTTCCGCTCGTTCAAGCTGCAACTCCATCTCTCAGGTCAGCTGCTGCCTTGCTCAGCGTTGTTTAACTTGGGGCTTGGGGCCACACAATTTATGTTGTACCTCGTCAATCTCATGTTGTGACAGCAGGTGCCGTTTGTGCATGTTGGAACACTGACCTACTGGTGTTGGTGTGTGACTATCATTCACACGTTTTCTGCATATAACCCTGACTAGGGTGACTGGAGTAGTAGTACTCCAAAAAGCCAGATTCTGGCATCTCGCCCATTTCCATCTTGTTCCAGTAGCCCACGTTTCACCAGAGTGCTCTGAACACAGACCTTGTTTGGCTGGACGTCGTCTGAGCCTGCCCTCACCATGGTATGAGGTAGACAGTAGTGCAACAACTCAATGCAACTAAGCAAGATCTATTAATTACAAAACCTCTAATTATTTAGATATTTTTTATTGACTCCCAGCCCTAATTACTATATATTCGTATCTGTTTTATTCTTATTTACATGTACATTTACATAAGTGAAAAGCATCAGGTAAATAAATGCTCTGAAACCTTATCGTCATTGGCCATTCTTTGTTTTTACTTGTTTTATAAATGTAATAGTTGGTTTTGGAGGGCCTCTGGTTTCATTAACTTTAGTAAAAGTTTCATTTTCACACTGAGCAGTGCACAAACATAAGACTCAACAGTTAAATTCAGTTCAGACATATTGTTGTTATAAGGAAAGATTTTGCATTAAGGCGAGGTGCAAAACATTGAGATGTCAGCTGTCGGCTGAATGTGACCATATCTGCATCGGTATCGGCAATGGAAAAACGATACTGGTCGACTTCTACGTCCACTGAATGAAGTGGAATGAAAACCTGGTCCTTTTATACCTAAATGTGTGAATACCTGAAGTCCTCAGAGCCTGCAGAGCAGATGTACTGGTCCAGGTAGTTCCACTTGTATTCCTCCAGTCTCTCGTGGCCAAACTCCACCCAGCAGGACACAAACTGAGCATCCGAGTTCGGAGGACATAGACTATAGCTGTACTGGATCTGAGCCGACTCACATGGGTACCTGGGGGGGGGGGGGGGGGGGCATAATTAGAACCGCAGCAATCTACTGCTTCATGTTAGCTTGTTGTTAAACTCATGGTTTGGTTTTCAAACCGTGAGTTTGTTAGTTTACATGCTTTCTTCTGCAACTTGGACACCTGCTGAGACTTTTAAAGTGTTTTAGATTCAGAGCACACATGAAAAAATAAATAAAACGCCCTGATCTTCATCTGATCCCTCAAACAAACACAATTAACTAAGACCAACATTTTATGAAAAAAAGGAGTTTAAATTAGGCTTTGTGTTTCGTTTGTGTTGGTCCACCAAACCAAGGAGATAAAGCCTAATGGCAGCCCATAACTGGAGGGTTGCAGGTTGAGCCCCGCTCAGTCGTTGTATCCTTGGGCAAGACACTTCATCCTCCTTGCCTGCTGGTGGTTGGAGGGACCGGTGGTGCCTGTGGCAGTGTGCACTAGCACAGCTGTGGCTACGTTGTAGCTCATCACCATCAGTGTATGAATGTGTGTGTGTGGGGTGAAGGACTGTAAAGTGCCTTGGGGAGTGTAGAAACCTAGAAGGTTCTACATCAAATACAGACCATTTATTTTTATTTACCATTTAACAAGTAAAATAATGACTAAATGTTTACAGATGTTTGTGTGTAACTGATGCACCAACATAAGTTTGCTGTGTTCAAAACACACGAAACAAGGAATTCAGCCATTCACTAACGGAGCAGTCGGAAGAGCTCACTTTGGCAGGTAGCGAGTAACTGTGATGATCTTGTCTCTGAGGCAGACCTTATGGAAGGTCCGGCCCATGCTGAGCCAGTAAATAGTCTCCTCCTCCTCTGCTCGCCGGAGCGACACCAAACCTGAAACAAAAGTAAAGAGAAACTATTTATACATACAAACCTGGACTGATGAACTCTGAGGAGAGCTGAAATGGCTTCTAGGTTGGGTGATTATCCTGTTGATCTTGTTAGTTTTGACTTGCTGAGCTGCCCCCACCAAAAACCTCGATTTACCACCACAGCCAAGAAGGTGGCAGTGACGCTCTGTTTTAATGATGGTCCATTGAGAAGGCGGAAAGGATTCAGTGGAGAGGCTCGTTGGGGAGCGGGGACTCAAAATAGAGCCGAAGTCTCTCCTCATCAAAGGGAGCTTGCTGGAGAGCTGAAGAAGTGCATTTGAAGCTCCGGCACATTTATCTTTTCAAAAGTGGCTTCTAGCCTCAAGTGTGTACAATACTTGATGCCTAATGGGCTCGACACACAGGGGGCGACAAACGACCGCGATCAGCGAAATTTGTCGCTGTCGCTTTTATTACCTGACACATGGGAGGCGATCCGCGGCAGCGGCAAAGCCGTCTACGCGTTCTGTTCCATGGCGAAATCGAAACTTCCGTTGTTTTGTTTGGCTGTGTCAGGTTGGAGGGAATTAAGGTTATTTAAGAGGTTCAGAGTTAATAAAGCGGTAGATATGATGTTTCACAAGGTGCTGCTAGAGTTATGTGAAATCTTACTTCTGATTTTACTATAAAACATAATAATAATCAACTTCTCCTCCATGTTTGCTCGGAGGTGTGCGGAGCATCCTGTCCGCTCATTGGTCAGTGAATGAAACCTCCGTTGATTGGTCCTCGTCCGAGCGACAGCGATGAAAAGTTGAAAATGTTTCAACTTTCTGGGATCGCGTCGCTGGGTCGCCTGTGCACGACACGTGCACGAGCGCAAAATTTCACACGCACGTTTTTCGCGTTTCGCTTGGTAGGAGGGAGACCCGCGATTATCGCTTTGTCGCGCACGTCTCATTGAAAATGAATGGAGGAGAGGCGATGTCGCCTCCCGTGTGTCGAGCCCATAACACTTTATTTTAGCTTCGACATGCACTGTGGCCACTTGATGGCTCAGTGGATTAGTGACAAATACTAAAAAATGGTAAATGGCCTCTATTGGTCATTCACACATTCACAGGCTGGTGGTGATGAGCTACGATGTAGCCACAGCTGCCCTGGGGCGTGCTGAGAGAGGCGTGGCCTGCTGAACACTGGCGCCACCCGTCCCTCAGACCACCACCAGCAGGGAAGAGCACGCGTGTTGCTCCCCCTGAAAAAGACGCATCCTTGGGAAGAAATGTTATTTTTGCTTTTACAATTTTTACTTCAGTTCAAACTGTTTAAAATGTCGTGGTTTCATCCCATTTAGCTTGTTTTTATTAGAAATATCTTCAGCTTTATTCACTTTTGTTGCATTGTTTGGAAAAACAATCCTAACAGAACCAAACAATTACTTGAAAGCTTTGTTTACCTGTTTTGTAGCTACAGTTTCGCCGACGGCTGCCGGCTTCTTCAGGCTGACGCTGATGGTGGCGCGCCACCATCAGCATCAGCCTGAAGAAGCCGGCAGCCGTCGGCGAAACTGTAGCTACAAAACAGGTAAACAAAACTGTTTCTGTGTTTAAAAAGAACGAAAGCATGGAATTAGAACCACGACACAGCAAGAACACACCTAAGAATTACTTGAAAGGTTTTGTATTAAATTCCATTTAAAGAACTTTTACTGTTCTTTAAATGGAATTCTATAGATTTTGGAAGTATTTGTTCATTTAGGACTTTATTTATGGGGTGGTTGGGGGCGGAGGTGGAAAGAGTACTAAAATTTCCTACTTAAGTACGAGTACCAATACTCTGATAATTTTTTACTCAAGTACAAGTAAAAGTACTTGCCTAAATTTTTACTCAAGTAAAAGTAAAAAGTATCGTAAATAAAATGTACTCAAAGTAAAAGTTACTTAGTTACATTTTTGTCAGCGTAAAGACGGTTACATCAGAGCAAAACCATAACACCAGTTCACAACACGCTCGCGTGTTGATGGAGGGATTTCTATCCAGTCAGAGAGAACAGGACGTGCACGTTGATTGGACGAGGTTTTTTTAGGATTGTACGTTTCAATTGTGATTAAAATTATTCTTTATTTTGAAAAAAGAAAAAAATGTTAATTTTTAGACGCCATCAGTAGGTGAGGTATCTCAACGTTCTCATGACAAAACTCTAACGTGAGACTGTGCTCTAACCTGTCACATAACAAGCTAAATGAAAGTCAAACATGTCAGATGGACCGTATGACAGCTGCTAACGTTGTCCCTGCCCTACTTTACCTCTACATTACAGTTCCTTTATCCATGTCCATCCTAGAGCTCCTCTCTGACCTTCATGCTTATTTAGAGCAGCTGATTTTTAAAGTTAGCAGAGTTCATCCTTGGTGGTGGGTTCACTCACTCGTTTAAAGATATCGGCCAGAGGCAAAATTCGTTCCAACAGCATGTGTAAATGTGTATTAAAACCTCAGATGAAAAAGGTTTTTGGATTTTGACGTCTGGAATTGTAAGAAAATCTGAAGTTTGTGACCGGCGAGGGAAAAACAGGAACTAACTTCCGGTCTAAGCCCTGGGCAGCTGGTGACGTTTCACATGGAGCTCTGCTGAAACAGCTGTAGTAAACAACGCCCGACTCCGGTGTTTCTGCGTTAGCGTTATAGCAGAGAACAATGTGTCATCAGTCAGATGTACCTTCTGAAGCCTCTACTAGTCCATCAGATTTGTTTTTTCTCTGGGATACGGCGACGAGAACGGATGTTAGATTACTGGAGAAGTTCAACCGAACTTCGACCCCGCCAGCTGGATATCACTACCAGAGGTGCAGACATGTTTTAGACCGTTTGACTCAGAAGACCTGTGACCTGATTTGGACATAGAGGAGGATTCTGTTCATCTTCAGAACCAAAATCGGTACAGTTTGTTTATTTTCTTAAATATTTCATTTCTGTGCTCCACTGGGAGCTCTAAGCTGGTTTTAGCTCCATCATGTGTCCCAATATAGTTCAGTAATCTACAGTTTTACTGCTGTGTGTGATTATTGACATAACTCTGGAAAATATTTAACCAACAATTTACCAGAATAAATCCTCCTGATGCTGGAGTAACTCCTTAGCTCAACTCGTTGTTTGCACTAATCCAGGATGTCACGGAGGTTTTAATGTTGAAATATAGAGATCATCTATTAGATTATATCTGTGTGTGTGTGTGTGTGTGTGTGTGTGTGTGTGTGTGTGTGTGTGTGTGTGTGTGTGTGTGTGTGTGTGTGTGTGTGTGTGTGTGTGTGTGTGTGTGTCGTAGCTTTCCCAAAGGACTTGTTCTTTCCTTACCGGCGTGAACACGGTTAGTTTTGCTGCAGTCATGCTAACGGGACTCGTCTGGAGTCTAGAAGAAGCGGTGCAATTCTAGATGGATTTATAGATGTATGTTATTATTTTAGATCAGACCTGTTATTTAAAAATGCGTGTAGGACACAGACACATGGCTCAGACCTTTTGCTGCGGCTGTAAACGCAATTTTACGTAATAATTAGGAGCATGAAAGTAAACAAATAATAGTTATTCACAATACTAGCATCAGCAGCTAGCTTGTTTTACGTGCTGGAGTGACGTATGCGAAACACGGTTCTTCACTGTCTGGAGGAGAGGATTTGGATTTTCTGTAATGATTTATGACAAAAGTCCTTAATAAAATAAAAAACTGAACCCAGTACATGTTTATATAGATAATAAAGTGTAATTATTTTGCATTTCTACAATTTTAATGCCGAGCCAATACCTTTAACCCTTCACCACTGAAACCAGTTTGTTCATCCCAATCCTCCTAAATAATCCTCCAATCATCCAACTGGAATCCTTAAGGGTCCCGTAACGTACATTCTGTCAGAACAGGCCGTGGGAGCCCAGGTGTCACTAGAACTAATGGTGTCTCCTCACCAGTGTGAGCCTCCAAACTGTGAAGGTTGGTCTCCAAATATGAACTTTAAATTCATGCATTTATCTCCTCTTGTAGAACTTTAACATGTTTTAAAAGGCTTGCATCATAAGTTACACCTCCCAGACCAACGATAGGTCCAATATAAGATAAAATATTATCATAAACACTGCAGAGACGTCATTATTTATTAAATATAAGTTATTTTTGTTCACCATTACTTCAGCCAAGATATAGGATGCATGGATTTGATGAAACCACGCTGTCTCATGCAGTCCTATATGTGTAACCAGTAGCGGTTTTAGGCACGGGCAGACAGGGCAGTTGCCCGGGGCGGCATTGTTTCATGACACAAAAGGGGCGCACAAGCGCGGAGTAAAAAAAAAAAAAAAAAAAAGGAAATCTGCGCCGCACCGAGGTTTTCTATTATCTGTCATATGACAGTGTCTGGATTGGAAACAGTAAGTTGGCGCCCCCTGCAGCTGCAGGCGCTCCTGCTGACTGAGAGGGTTCACGTGCACCGTGTGTCTATGAAGAACAGGAAGGGGAGGGGTGTGGCGGGGGAATTCACCTCTGCGTCTTTCCCAAATGAAATGAGCGTGCAGGGGCTGAATCAACTGTATTAACATGGCTAAAGTCAATCACATCTTAACGTTCTTCCATATTTCATTCATAATATCATAAACACAGGCCTATCATTCTTTCAGGTTTCTCTGAATTGTGTGAAATGGCCGAATAAAAAAAGGAAAAACAAAACGATTTTGTGGTCACCCCCACATCAAGGTCAAATAGTTTAGTCCTGACTAAAGGAAACTTACTGAGCCAGGAGCCAAACAGAAGAGATGAACATAAAAAGGCTAAAACCACCAGGTGCCCCATTCAGGGGGAAAAAAAGAAAAAAGAGGAGAAAGATAAAGGTATGTAGCTCTCATGATGCATGTTTTCAATTTTTTGAACCAGTTAACTGGGATTTTAACGGTTAAATGTGGTCAACTAATTGCTAACAGAGCTAATAGGACTGAAATATTGAAACGAATATTCAAATGGTTCGAAAAAAGTCCTTAAATCGTTTTTTACTGATTCAAACTAGGATTTGTTAAATGCTCGCTGCAGCCTGTGGCCTGCCTGAACAACAACAAACACATGTTGATCATGTTCACATAATAATAAATAAAACATTTCTACAAGCAGAAGAAAACTCCCCAGGCACCACTCACTATCCTGTTTATTTATTGCAGATGGCTGCACAGATTATTTTTTACATGATTTGTTCTGTAAAAGTTGGCATTTTTGGTAGTCTACAGTTTTATTTATGTCAGTTTAAATTACAATTTCAGAGGCAATTCTAAAATATTATGGATCATGATAAAGATCTATTGGAGATCTACCCCAACTTTTGGACTGCTCTGCCAGTCTCTGTGGCTCAAGCTGAGAGGAGCTTTTCAAAACTTGATCAAGTCATACCTGAGGTCACCTATGTTTCAGGGGCGGCTCACTCACCTGGCTCTGATTAGTATCAATCACTCAGTAGGGGAGCAGATTTCATGTGATGACATTATTGATGACGTTGCATCAAGGTTAGGTTTTAATTTTAGTTTGTGTTTTCTATTCTAAGTGCAATGCTGTGGTGATTATCTTTAGTTTGTTATGTGTGAAATATTTTTGCTATTTAGAATATTTATTATATATTATGTTCATATATTCTTAATATTTAGTTAGTTTAGTTGTTTTTGTATATTTGATTCTATATATTTTGATACAGTATATAATGTATATTGCTTTACATTCTGACAACTTCATAGTAATTAATGTAAATATGTGCAACTTAGAAAAATGAATGTTCAATAGTCGTTCTAATAAAACATGCCTGTTTGTAGAAAACATGCGTGTGTTCGTGCAGGTGGGGTTGTGTGGTGGTGGTGGGGGTGGTGGGGGGGGGCGGTTGGGGGGGCGCTCAAAAGGGGCCTCGCCTGGGGAGTAATTCGATGTAGAACCGCCACTGTGTGTAACACACACACACACACACACACACACACACACACACACACACACACACACACGTCATGACTAATTTAACTACACTGAACTGCTTTAGTAATAATTTAATCTCTTATTCTGGAGTAAAATAAAGATACAAGCTAAATCATCACATATCTGTGGCATCAAGAAGCATCTTCTGAGTTCAAACACAGGGATGGAGCACAATGTTTACACCTGAACAGTATCAGGATGTTTTAACTCACAGAGGCCTGCAGGTCTTCTGTTTTATGAGCAGAGCGCTGAGAATCCGATTGTTAGGAGCGCTAAACGTTATTTTGCCGCTTCCGTGCGGAGCGGTAGAGAAACACATTTCAAACACGGAACCGAGTCCGGCTACCGAACCGAGCAGAATTCTGATGACGTCACACCGGTGCGCGAAGGTGCGGGTTCCAACCCACAGGAGAGGAGGGAGAGAGGAGGTAAACAGCGAGTGCATCACAGGGACTGAACTGATGTTTTTGAGCAAAACTGCGGTAAAAATGGCTGATTGTCCTCATTATCTAAAGTGTACACCCACACCCCACACGGTGCAGACGCGGCGCTCATGCAGGTGTCTCTTTCTGTTCCGACGCTGCTGCACGTAGTATTTTTTATTTATTAAGCCCACAATTTATTTTTACTCAGTAATGGATATGATTTAAAACGTAGCGAATTACAATTCTTTCTTAAAAATGTACTCAAGTAAAAGTACAGCTTTTAAAAACGACTTATAAAGTATAAATATACAAAAAAGCTACTTAGTTAAAGTAACGTGAGTAAATGTAATTCGATACTTTCCACCTCTGGTTGAGAGTTTGTTTGTTGTTTTAAGAGAAAAACCTTAAAACTTTAACAAAAAAATTAAAAAAAACAGAGGGTGTCAGCTGAGGTTTTGCCACGCGTCGGAGTTTGGTAACTCTCTGGACGTTTTCTCAGCATGTTTCAATGGGAGTAGACCCCAGGCAGACCCATAACCTACTGTAGGAATTAAGCATGAATTGGTGAATGGACTAATTAAACCATTACATATGCTAGTGAGTTCACAATTTAATTTGATGAAACTTGTTTGCTTAAAACCTCCAGATCTTGTTTAATTTCATCGTCTTACTCTTCTTTTTAATATTTTATGGTCATTTTTGGTTCCAGCTGCATGCTCATCATGTAGCCTCTTCTCAGTAATGTTGATTTACCTCTAGTGTAGAGAGGACTGCTGCCAAGGGGGGTAGTCACAGCTGGGACTGGTTTCCGGTTGTTTGACTGGACAATGATCTGATATCCCTGCATCAACCTCTGACAGATAAACTCCTCAAACACCTGAGCAGCAGTCATCACTGGAGCTTCATCTTCTCGTCTGAATAAAGAGGAAAATAGAGTTAAATCAAACAGCCAACGTGAGCAAGAAATGGAACCTGCTAATTACGTGAAATAGGTGGAAGTTTCCTTGTTTTGCGGCAGGTAATTCTAACGATAAAGAATTAAAAGGACCCAACTGTCCAATGAAATTGAACCAGAACCCTACTCACCCAAAAGGCCTAGAAAAAAGAAAAATGTCTTTTTTTTATAAAGCATCTCTCAAGGTAAAAATCACAAGGCACTTATTAACAAGAACTATTTAACTTTAAGAAGTGATTAAAATATCATTGTGAAAAGAAAACGGGGAACATTTTTATTTAAGATTAAAAAAGGAGAAAAAATAAGGTAAGCATGGGGAGAAAGTACTGAGAACGAAGAGGATGAACAGAAGGTCATACAAAAGCCAGCTTGAACAAGTGAGTCTTCAGCTGCTTTTTAAAGGAGACCACTGAGTCCACTGATCTCAGGCTCAGGGGGAGAGAGGTCCAGAGTCTGGGGGCCACAGCAGCAAATGATCTGTCACCTTTGACCTTTAGCCTGGTGCTGCACAACCAGTAGGCTTTGATCGCTGGACCTCAGGGACCTGCTGGGGGTGTAGGGACTAAGAAGATCACCAATGTAAGATGGTGCTTGTCCATGTAAGGCCCTATAGACCAGAACCAGGATCTTGAAATGAACCCTGAAGGTGACTGGCAGCCAGTGAAGCTGGAGGAGAAGCGGGGTGATGTGGGTGTGTTTGGAGGACTTGGTCAGAAGCCGAGCACAGGCGTTCTGAACCACCTGTAGACGGTTCAGGGAGGTTCTGCTCAGACACGTGAAAAGAGAGTTACAGTAGTCTAAGCGTGAGGAGATGAAGGTGTGGAGAACTGACTCAAGAGATGGGTCAAAGTTCACACCAGTCTTGTTTTCAAACCAAACTTAAAACTGTCTTTAAGTACTCAGAAGCACATTAATCAGAAACTACTGATCCCAATGAATTATTGAAGGTAGATAATGGAAAGTAGGTGTGATGAACTCAGAGGTTTCTTCTCTCTGCTCTCCACCTGGTGACCTCCTGCTGCAGGCCTCCGGCAGCCCTGCAGCAGGACGCCAGAGGGGGCATAACATAATAGGGACCCATCTGGGAATTTTCACTTTTCCGTGGTTTTAGAATCCCTGATGGATGGTTTTTGGTTTGTTTGAATATTTTGTAGTGACATGAATGGCCTCATTTGTGACCCAAAGGTCACACTTCCTCAGCTGGGTCAAGCTGTCCTGGCTGTACTTCTATTTACAGATTATCCATTACAGGAGACACACAGTCTGCTGTAAACCATCTTTAATCTGACTGCTGTTCCATCCGCAAGATGAAGGACACTTCAAGATTTAAAAGAATCATTTTTAATTAACTCTTTTCACTGTTTATTACAATGTTCATGAATAATCATCATGGTTCATTATAAATAGATTTAATTACTGAAATGAATTATTATTCTTTGGTTAAGAATAATTATTTATGATAATCGGTAATGTTTAACAGTGACAAGAAGGTCATGTGCACTTATACACCATGCAGAACACAGAAATCAGGTTAAAGGAAACTACACTCACATGTCTTTGTTCCGTAACACCAAAGCTTTCTATCTCTGAGAGGGCGTGTTCTGAGGTATGTTAAAACCAAAACTCCTCAGTTCAAGTTCAGTTCTTGAGCTCATCAAAATTCTCTCCGTGGCACGAGAGTCCAGGGGATCGGGTCAGCCGCTTGAAACCTCTACCAAAGCTTTTCTATCACTCTGATAGAATTGCTTCAACAAGAAACGCCATCTGCAACAAGCTGACGCAAAACTCCTTCAGAGTTAATTTAAGACGCAAACTCAACACCTGTGTGCCTGCAGCAACTCTAGGACCAGAGAGTCGGTACCACTGGTCTCCCCTACCGGACCGAGTACCCAGAGGCTGACCAACATTCTCCCTTGACCTCCGGATCCAAACAGAGGGTCATCTGAACGGTGAGGTAGAACACAGATTGCGTCTGAATGCCTGTTTTATTAAGAAATTATTTAGCTTAGCTGAAACTAGGGTTGTCACGGTAACCGGTGTAGCGGTAAACATGCGCACTTTGTTGTTTACAACCAAAACTTTCTTGAAGCTAAGGCTGAAATAATGGCCAAAGGAGGAGACGGCATCGCTCAGGACATTTATTATCCCTCAAAGAAGACAAAGTGGGAAGTACGGGCATCTTTTGGATATCTGACGAATGCCGAGGGACAGCTGATAGAAGACGGCTATCCTGTTTGCAACACGTGCAGAAAAAGTGTCTGTGAAAGGCAGCAACGCTTCACATCTCATGACACATCTGCGTGACCATCACCCACAACTCTACAGTCAACGCAAGGCAAGCTAACGTTAGCGTTTTAGCTAAAATGTGTGATCCGAGGATTTGGGTTGAGGGAGAATGCAACGAGTCGCTATATGAAGCAGCCGCAGCGCCGCTACCTGAATATAAAACGTGTCGCGGACACCGCCATGTTGAAATGACGCTATGCATTACGGGGCTCCCAGGGGCAGATAAGAGTTGGTCTCTCTCCGAGAATAATTATGAATTTAACAATGATTACTGCCTGATGACATTTTCCCACATCTGCAAAGCTCACTGGAAGGACACAAACCGAGGACAATATTTTCCTGATATAGGGTTTATTACTCAAGTAAGGGTAAAAAAGTATCTGATTAGAAGGCTACTTGAGTACTGAGTATCATCTGGTCTAATATTTTTAAAATGATGACATCAAACAGACATAAAACAATAAGTTATGGGCAAATATTGGTATTTAAAGACTAAAGGGGAAAAATGTAAACAAATAAACAACATAATTACAAAATAACACATTTAAGGCAAAATTTGGACACAAACTGAGGACAATATTTTCCTGATATACAGGGTTTATTTAGTTGTCTGAAGATGTAACATGTTTAAAAAAATACCGCGATAATACCAAAAACCGTGATAATTTTGGTCACAATAACCGTGAGGTTACATTTTCACACCGTGACGACCCTAGCTGCAGTCTTTCACCCAGAACGCCTTTTCTCTCTGAGACAGAAACCTTCTGAGACTACATTCACACATCCAAACACACACACTTCATTTTTAGTTTCATCCAGACACAGGTTGCTTTACTACCAAGTTTTAATACCAAAGCTTTTATAAATCGTCATTTATGAATTGTCTTTTAATTGTCATCTTTAAATTGTTAGTAATAAATTCTTAACTTTTTAAATCTGACTCTTCTTTGAAATAAAACACAGAATGGTGTATATTTGGTTATTGAACAAGCAAAGATTCCATTAAGTCTTCTGGTTAATAAATAAACTTTTGCTATTAATTTAAATCTCTTAAATTAAATATTAATCTTTGGATTAAATATAGACCAAGCCAGTTGGTGTATGAACTTCTATCGATTATATAAATATCCGTGGATATATATATATTAGAGATGAGCTGGATACTCGTTTCAGACGAGTATCCGGTACGAATAAAGCATTTTTGACGAGTACGAGCATGAGACGAGTAAAACTCGGAAATATCTGTAATCGTGCTGAAGGAAAATCCTCATTGGGTAACTGACTGTCTTCACGCTCTGTGATTGGCCAGTCACATAGAGCGCCCGCCCCTCCCTACACACAAAACTCTCTAGCCGGCCGGGAGCGCAGTCCGACCTGCTCATCCACACACACACACAGAGAGTAACGGATCTCGCTGTGATTGCTTCACTGTTGCTCACGTTTCTTCAGTTTTCCCTAGGTTTTCTTCAGCTCGCCTCTTTTTCGGTTGAATATTTAAAGTTACTTTTTTCGTAATTTACTGTACATGGTGCATTTGACAAGACAGAGCTGACGTGCTGCATTAACTCACTACCTCCGCTCCGGTCGGGTTTTTTATTTTTCTAACTCCATCTCTCTCCCTCTCACCCTCTCTATCTCTCTCAGACACACACGCCTTAATCAGCATTGTTTTGTTTAACTTTGTGGGGCAAAATGCCAAGAACGTTAAAAAAAATCAGTTTAATCAAATTAAAATAAAAAATATACATAAAGTTGTGTCTGGTTCTAGCATTTCATATTTCCTAGTTCCTTCTGCATGAGTTCAGATGTATTAATCCATGCACTTAAATATTAATGTTCTGATTTTATTGAAACACTTTTTCTGTAATAGTTTCTTTACTATTGTGATCAAAAAATTTTATCTCAATTCTGAGGCTGCTCTGTAAATAGTTTTCAAGTAAACAACTTCTGATCAGTCCATATCAATTTCAGACTTAAAATAATGTATTGATGTAAACCACACCCACTTCCGGATTATGCCACGCCCACTTTCGGGTTATGCCACGCCCATTCCGAGTACAGATACAGATAGTGGTGAAGTGGTGTACTCGCTCACCCCTAATATATATATATATATATATATATATATATATATATATATATATATATATATATATAATATAATATAAGTTTCATTTGCCAATTCCTTTGATCTTTCTCAGAATTTAACCAAGCCGAATAGCAACAGCTTAAACTCTAGTTATGTAGATTAACTATGCTACAGTTTGGTTTAGAGTTTCTGTGGCTACTGACCCAGTAAGTGGTGACGGGTTTCTGTTGACAATACATTAGTTGCGTGATAAGAAGTTTTGGGTTTTTGAAGTGTGGTTTTCGTTGTGTGCTTAAATCCTAGCCTGTGATGTTTTCGTTAAAAGGATTTCTCGATGTGCCTTCGCAAAAACGGTGGAAAGCTGCCGCAAGCGTTACCTGCTGGAGGTGGCTGCACACCTTGGCCTTAGCGGCACCCACAGAATGCTGAAGGCAGATTTGAAAAAGACTGTGCTCTCTGCCTTAGCCGCCCAGCACCCGCTGCCTGAGGAGGAGACGGAGAGTGAGGAAGAGGTGACTGGGGACCTGCGTGACCCAGTGCTGCCTGCAGAGGGAGACACCGGAGACGTGGATGAAACAGCACCTCCTTTTGAAGCTCCAGAGGAAACTGCTTCCGGCCTACAAACTCCTCCTACTGAGCGGAAGACACCTCCACCAACCTTGCCGCGTTATGAACCTCCCTCTCCAGCCTCTTTGAGGGGTTCACCTGATGGTGTAAGACTACAGGTACGTTTGGCTCGTCTGAAATAGGCAGCCGAGAAAGACAAAGTCCAGCTACGAAAGATGGAATCGGACTTACGGCGACTGGAGATTGAGGCAGAGACAAAAATCGCTTTAAAGAAAATGGAACTGGAGTGTCTGGCTCTGACGCGACGAGAGGAGCAGTTACGGACGACAGCCACTGACAATACTAAACACAGAGACTTCGACAGAGAAAACGATGGAGAAGAAGAGTACCACCGAACCTTGGATAAGGAGGGAGAGGAGAAAAAAAAAGCATCTGTACTCTCCAAGAGCCGGAAGAAGAAGAAGACATGCCTCCATCTAAATAGGATAGATTATCCAGAGTTATCTCTGTAGTTATGCTGCTATAGGCTTAGACTGCTGGAGGACATGCTGCCCATGTTCCACACTCGACTACTTTCTTCTACAATCTGCTCTTTAACTGTATTATTTTCTGCTATTTCAGCTGTTAACTTTATTTTCTCTCCAAGTGTTTTTCTCCCCAGAAGAAGCTACAACGATGTTCTGCTGAGCTGTGGTGGCCTCATGGAGGGGGCCATCGTCTAGCACACTGCTGCTAACCACTTAAACATTCTCCCTCTCCTGATAATAACGTTTTACTCCCTTTGACTTTGGATGTGCTACTACTAGTTTATCTGTTTAATTATAGATTCACTAGGACAAATATAATAAAGTTTATCTCTCACCAAATAGAATATTTACTAAGAAATCACAATGTAACCTCTGTGTGTGTGTGTGTGTGTGTGTGTGTGTGCTTGCGTGCGTGCTTGCGTGCGTGTGTGCATGTGTGTGTGGTCTTCTCCATCCCCAGTGAGTCGTGGAGGATGGCTGCTTATACTGAGCCAGGATTCTCTGGAGGTTTCTTCCTGTTAAAAGGGAGTTTTCCTCTCCACTGTCGCTGCTTGCTTGCTTAGTATGAGGATTGCTGTAAAGACTCTTGACACTAGTCAGTGACTTGATGCAACCTGCTGGGTTCCTTATATGGGAAACGTTTTTCTGATTGGCTTAACGAACTGACCTGAATTGGCATGTTTTATTATGTGAAGTGCCTTGAGACGACTCTCGTCGTGATTTGGCGATTTAGACATAAATTTGAATTGAATTGAATCTAAAATCGAGATAAAGGAGTTTTTGAAATGTGACCAAGCATCCTCGACAGTAGGAATGAGGTTAATTCTATGCTATTGTTCTTTCGCCAAGTCATGTAAAAAGGCCTGCTCATTGAAGTTTTTTAGCAGTTGTTCACTGATAATTAGGGGAGGTTGTTTGATGTTTGTACCATTGCGGACACAAGCAGTAATAGTATGAGAAACAAAGTTCCCTACCATCAATACTGTAGTCTAATCAACTGTGCAACAGCTGCAGATCCTCCAAGGAGACGGTACCACAATTCTTCTGCAGCAGAAGCTTTGCGGATCTCTGACAGCAGTGAACCAGCGGCGCAGGGACAACTGCATGCCCTGGCCACTCGGGTCTTATCGCTACTGTGTAAGGTCGTAGTAGCGCTGGCTGCCTGCAGAGCTCTCCGAGGGAGACCACAGAAACAATGCACCGCAGTGAGTTGCAGACCTCTGTTAGTTATGGTTAGCTCAGGTAGCTCAAGTTTCGGTGCCCAGCCCTACCAACACTTCATTTTTCCAACTCGTTTTTGACCAATCAGCATAATTAAATGCACAGCACGTTACCCTATTCAACCAGCAAATTCAACTACAGGAACATCACTTTACTCACTGATAAAAATGGAGCAGGTACTTAATCAGGGTATATGCAGGAATCTCAAAATTAAATTTAAGACTTTTAAGACTTCTTAAGACCTTGTAAAAATAAAATTAAGACTAATGCAAATAACTAATCAACTGTTAAACACTTATATATTGTTTTTAAATACTGCATCGCCTCGTTTTCCACTTCATGTTGGGTTACATCACATCCGAGACAGCGAGGCTGTAGCAATAATACGTAAAGCCACGTGGTACAAAAATGCAAACCGCACGCATAGAAGAACAAAATATATATTTTATTAGTTTACAAGTATCTATTTTTCATAGCCACGAACTCAGTCTGTGAAAAAAGTGACAACTAAAATAACTCCCCCCAAACGAGGTCCTCACGTGCTGCAGATGTGCATCTATTCTACAGTGGGTTTTGTAGTGACCTCTGACATTTATTTACTTTTATTTTATTGAGAGTATTAAAAAATATATATATAAATTTCATGTGATGTTTTTGCAAAATGCAAGCAATTTTCTACCAGTCCTACTGTTCAAGAGAGCTAAATATAATAAACTGAAATAACTCATCAGATAATGATTAGCGGTCATCATGTAATAATTAACTATTATTATGAAACTAATTCACAAAACACCAAACATAAAAACATCTGAAAATATTACAAATTACTGTAATCATTCTTCAGTAGGATGACCAGATCCCAGCTCACCACACGTGGGACAGAGACTGCTCACTGTGGGACCAAGCCCCCACAATGTTCGATTCCTGGTCGGGTCATACCAAAGACTTTGAAAAAATGGGACCCAATGCCTCCCTGCTTGACACTCAGCATTACGGGGTTGGATTGGGGGGTTAAACCACCAAATAGTTCCCGAGCGCGGCTGTGTCTGCAGCTCACCGCTCCCCCAGGGGATGGGTCAAATGCAGAGAACAAATTTCACACACACACCTGTGTGTGTGACAACTAATGGGACTTTAACTTCAATGCGGGTGAAAAATTGAGGCCAACGCCGAAGTACCAAAAATTGCAGTTCCACCCTCATCCACTAGGGGCTGGTGTCAGAAGCGAGCAAATCCTCATTGACTCCCATGTTAAAAATACCAATTTCACAGCAGAAATAAACATGTTTACAGCCTGGTACCAAAACATGTTTTTGGTTTAAATGATCTAGTTTACACTCATGACAACTCTGAGGGGGTGAATTTTTTTCTCACTCTTCTGTTTAAGTGTATTAAAAGCCTAAAATTCTGTATAATTAATGAGCATCAGACCCACGTGACCACAGAGCTAGCTCCGTGGAAAGGCCTCAGTAGAGCCTCGGTCTGGCCTGGAAACTGCTCCGGGATTTTGAGTCTCTGTGTGTGTATTCTTGTTTGGATATTATTTGTGCAATTGTTGGACAAAATGACTTGCTGTGGCATTAATTGCACTAATAGAGCGTCCAAGGAGTCTTCACTTCATTTTTTCGGTAAGTAAAATTATATTTATGTATTTTAGGTCACTGCTGAGCTGAGCTTAGATTTTAACATGTACTGTTTAACCATGAAATTTAAATGTAATAGGGTAAAACCCAGTGCATTTAACATAATGCTGCACTTTAGAAAATGGGTTGAAATATATCATGTTGGTGGAGCTGGGTTCCCACTATCGGCTTGTGGAGCTCTCGGGAGACCGATGTTTTCCACCTGTTCTCCCCTCCCCGCAGCTCGGCGCATCTCTGTCTGCTGCGCGGGCTGCCGGCTTGTGGAGCTCTGGGATGGAAACCTTTCCACCCGGTTCTCCCCAGCGGCAGCTCTGCGCATCTCAGATCGCAGCGGCGCTTGTCTGCTGTGCAGCTGCCGGCTTGTGGAGCTCTCCGAGACCTCTGTGTTCCACCCGGTTTTACCCAGCGGTCAGCCCGGCGTATCTCTGACTCAGAAGCTCTGGTGTTGTGCACAGTTAACTCCGGTTGTAGCTAGGTTGCTACCCCCGTTAGCTTAGCTCCCACCTCCGCGTTAGCTTTGGGTTAGCTTCAGGTTAGCTTGTAGCTAGTTCAACCGGGTGTCGTCAGTTGATCCCAGCCTTACAGCCCCACCCTCAGCTCCTCCTCTCTTCCCTTTTGTGGAATTGTCTGGGCTTGATGGAACCTGTGACACGGTCAAAATGGCGATGGTGGCCATCTCCCATTTCTCCTCAAAAACGTGTTATTGGAGCCTGTGGAAACCCATTGTCCAATATTTATATGTCGATGTGTGGGACGTGAAGCTTCAATGTAACCAAATGAAGTTAAAATGTTTTTTTTTATCTATTCTGCCTTTTATCTCTAACATGACTGTTAAACACACACACAATCATTATATAACTGATGTCTTATATGTTCTATTTGAATTAAACTGGAACAAGCAAACAGCAAAAGCTTTAATGCTGTTTCTCAGTTCCTCTGCAGCTACCACAGCTTAACTCAGGCTGGACCTTCTACTGCGGCTCTGAGTAACTTTAGTTACAGTTACTTTAAACCATCAACTGATTTTATAAATAAAGACAGGCCCACTATAAAATAATGAAGGTTTAAGCAGCTTTTTAATGTTTTCACTGAATATTTGTGCTGACTTTCCACAACAGAATGATGGTAAAAGTACCAGTAACATCTTTAGATCTATTTATGTTTATTTTCCACTAATAACATCTCGTTAAGAACAGATCCATACTGTTTAGCAAGTTTGTCTTCTTGATTTCAAATGTCTTATATAACATGTAGAGAAGACTAAAGGGTTTAGCCTGCACACACCTGAAACAACAGCCGCAGCACCTTGTCTGTCAGAATCTTCTTTAGGTTAGGATGGACCTGTCTAATTACTGGGAAAGCTGTTTTTGACCAACACTTGAACTCAACTCATGGAGTGCTGAGAATTAAGGTCATTCAGATTGGATGGGTTATGACTTTTTTACAATGAGTTGCCCATCCGTGTAACATTGATAACATGCAGTGCCGTGTTTAAGAACATTTGGCTAATCCAATCAGCTGCTGTTGCTGAGCGCAGGGTGCCAACCGCTACCTTCTCCTTTAAATTCACCTTTCCAAGTCGCCGTGTGGAAGCAGGTCGTAGCAACCTTCCGTGTAGTCATTCTGCAAAGTCTGCCGCTCAGGAAAGTAGTCGGTGGTGAGGGGGAGGCAAGCCGGAGTGGTCAAGGACTTCCAGTCCACCCCCACCGTGCAGCAGAAGCTGGGCACTGTCGGGGGTGCAGACAGCAGCAGGGCTTCACACACAGATGCAGATAAACACACAAACACATAAAATGTCCACCACGTAAACAAATGCATGTACCCAAAATGGAGAGGTACATGTGAGGGTGGATGGTGAGGAAGGGAGGGGGACGGGTGGGGCAATAAAGAATGAAAATGAAGAAGAAAAGATGTAAAATAATAGAGAGAAGATGATGCAAACACAGACAAAACAAGAAAGGGAAAGAAAGAACAACACAAGTGTTACTTGATGCATGTCACTAACGGTGATTCCTGCAGAGGAGGAGGTGGTGGAACAGAGATCAGTCATGCAGATTGTGGTCCTGAAGCAGTTGCTCTGCAATCAGCATCACCAAACAAAAGCTTAAGTGTTCTAGCAGCAGCAGCAGCGGTGCTGAGTGGTCTCTAGTAGAGAAATTACATCATGCAATTAACAGTGTGGAGTAAAAAAAAATCCAGCCTGAGAACATTATTATTTAACCAAAACATTCATTTATACAAAGAAATAGAGGAAATGTGCTTTACACTGATCCGTGCAGAAAGAGGACTGAAATGCAACACTTGTTGAATATAAACGGTCACACATAGATTACAAGTCTTAACGAACGGCATCGTCTGTTAGAAAACACACATTTTACAGAGAGGCTGAGAGAACAGCTCAGCTGAACAGGAAGTAAGGCGCAGAGGGAGGAGGAGAGGGTGACCCCAGATCTCATGACCTGAACCTCTACCTGCAGTTCCCCTGGAGACAGATCCCAACTGGAGAAAGCTGCCTGTTAAAGCTGATTCAACCTCACAGATAAGACACCTCCAGTGGCAGGTTTGTAATTAACTGCATCCCGATCCTATCGGCCAATCAGAATACAAGCGAGTTTATAGAAAAGCACGATGAACTCACTTGGATCTGTCCCATTGGTGGAGAAGCCGTGAAAGGAGAAGCTGCGGTTGTTGGCGGATCCTGTGCAGGGTTTCGCAATCCCAACAAAGAGAAGAGCAGCAGTTAGCCTGGAAGGTTAGCAGCTGATGTCAGGGATCATTTTAACTAGGGATGCACCGATGAGGTTTTTTGCTGCTGATCACCGATACAGAAATCAAAGAATGCTGATCACCGATACCGATCACCGATACCGATCACCGATACCGATCACGTGGATTGGCCAGAAATTTTCTACAACATTATAATGAGTGCTACAAACTACATAATCTGGGAATAAAGGAAATGTAACCTAATCTAAAATGGTCTGTAATCGGTCTGCTTTGATCTAATTTGAAAACTCCGATCAAAACCGATAGGGGCGCTATCGGCCGATTGGGATCAAATGCCGATCCATCGGTGCATCCCTAATTTTAACTGGGAACATCAAAGGATGAACTCAGCACAGCATGCTAACAAATACGGTGACCTCAGGTTTTATGGAGGATTTTTTTTAACATTTTGCTTTAAATGCTGTTCACATATGAAAAACAACCAATAAATTAAATGTTTTGTCAAAAAATGTATAATTTAATCACCTCTGGAATGTAGAATCCTGAAAAAATGGGTGGGCCATTTATCTGGACACACCTTAATAACACGGGAAAGGTTGGTGATATTAACGTCCTGTTTGTGGCACATTAGTATTTGTGAGGGGACAAACTTTTCAAGATGGGTGGTGACCATGGTGGCCATTTTGAAGTCGGCCATCTTGGATCCAACTTTTGTTTTTTTTTTCATTCGGAAGAGGGTCATGTGACACATCAGACTTGTTGGGAATTTCACAAGAACAACAATGTTGTGCTTGGTTTGGATGTAACTTTAGTCATGAGTTATTTACAAGTTTCTCTTTGTTCAGGCATTGACATGTCGAAGAGGTTAACCCGTGAGGAGCGGATCGAAATTGGTTTGATATCTGGTGAACGCAGTAACCCAGTCATTGCCACAGATTTCAATGCAAGACACCCTACGAGACCACCCGTCTCCCATGCTACAGTTAGCAAAATGCTTGCTAAGTGTCGTGAAACTGGTTCAGTGTTGGATTTGCCAAAATGTGGACGCATGACAACTGTCACTAATAAAGAAACATCAGTGGCTGTCCTAGCCTCATTCAGCAAGAGCCCACAGTGTAGCACTCGCCGCATGTCACTGGAGAGTGGCGTTGGTCCAACATCCCTTTGGCGAATATTAGCTACTCACAAATGGCACCCTCACAAACTCCAGCTATGGCAGCATCTCAACGAGGATGACGCTGATCGGCACACAGAATTTGCAGAATGGGCAAAACAAAAATTGGAACAGGACGCTCAGTTCATGCAGAAGATTTTGTTCGGTGATGAAGCAAACTTTTATGTGAATGGTGAAGTCAACAAACAAAACCACTGCTATTGGTCTGACACTGACGCACACTGGATAGATCCCTCCAAGACTGCTGGAACAGAAAAGTGAGGGTATGGTGAGGTATATGAGGTACAAAGACAGTGGGGCCATTCTTCTTCAATGGAAACCTCAAGGCCACTGGATATTTGAAACTGCTACATGATGATGTGTTTCGCTCTTTATACACCGAAGCTGGCACGTTCCCTGAGTTTTTTCCAGCAGGATGGTGCACCACCACATTATGGGTGCCAGGTCCGAGCATTCCTAGATGAACAGTTTCCTGGAAAGTGGATTGGTCGTCGTGGGCCAGTTGAACGGCCCTCAAGGTCTCCCAAGCTGACCCCCTAAGACTTTTATCTTTATGGTCATCTGAAGGCAACTGTCTGTGGCGTGAAGATACGAGATGTGCAGCACCTGAAACCACGGATACTGGAAGCCTGTGCTGGCATTTCTCCAGCGGTGTTGCTATCAGTGTGTGAGGAGTGGGAGAGGAGGGTTGCATTGACAATCCAACACACTGGGCAGCACATTAACATGTTTTATAAGTGGTCAGAAACTTGTGAATAACTCATGAAAGAATAAAGTTACGTTCAAACCAAGCACTCCATTGTTTTTCTTGTGAAATTCCCAATAAGTTTGATGTGTCACATGTGAGTGATTCTCACGCACTTGATACACACACACACACACACACACACACACACACACACACACACACACACACACACACACACACACCATGACTTTTTGACAACTGCTAGGAACTTTTACCAACACATTCATTCATTTATAAAGCACCTTCTACCACCTGTCACGGAGGCTCAAGCTGCTGTACACAAAAACACACCCCACGGTGACGATAACGCCAGGAGCCCATCATAAGAGAACCGAGTTAAACAGCCAGAAATGCTGAATATCTGTGTTGTGGCTGATGAATAAACGCAGACACCAAAGAGAAATGTGTAGAGTAGAAACATCACCACTGTTGTTGCTTCCTAGACTTCCAGTAAGGTCTTCTGTCCCTTCACATGCGTAAAGGCCATTTTCACTTGTTTGCCTTGAGGTTGTTTGCCTTAAAAAAATGTACAGAAAAATCAAGCATCCATGTTTCAGCTGTACATGTGTACCAAGAAAGATGCTTGTGTACTTGGTCTGACCTTCCGGTGGCCTCATGATAAGCCAGCTCCAGTAGCTCAGCAGAGGTGTGTGTTGAGTCGCTGTGCTGGCTGCCCTGCAACTCTGCCATGTTTTGTCTTGTCTGGTGATGAATCTGAATCGCCTCTCCAGAAGGACCTGAAGAACAACACTGCTCACAGTCTGCTAACTGGGCCAGTTAGGAGGACGACGATGAACACATTCTAGGAACTCGTCATATCAGCTTTTCTCTCAGACTAAACACACATTTTATACTTTAACAGCATTATATCATGCTTAACCACTTTTGTCATACTTCCTCATCAAAAACACCCAAAATGTTTCACACATGCTTTTTCCTGTTTGAGCTGCAGCTTCCCTTCAGCTTTGTTAAGCTGTTGCAAAAGGTGGATTGGGCCAGTTTACGTCACTCCCCCCCCCCCCCCCCCCCCCTGCACTGTAAATACTAACGTTCACCCTCTCCGTGTAGCTAGTAGGGAGTTTAGTCTCCACAGATGTGAAGAACTGATTTGTTTCTCATCTAGTCAGCACTTTTCAGGAACAGATGTGTGTTAACATACATAAAATTAAGACCAGACAAAGGCTACGGTACTAGAGCCTCCACTAGAGGAGACCTTCAGATTAGGGCTGTCACAATAATCGCAAGAACAATATATCGCGATATTAAGAAACCCACCGCGCTGCATGACGTGCCACCGCAATTACCGCACTTGATTAAATCTCGCGACAGCGCATGCTGAGAGGTAAAGTCCGCGCTGATCGAGGAGACAGTAGGGCACTTTTTTTTATTTCTGTTAGATGTTGCAGCCAAATTTGCATTTCAAAGTTAAACCTCCTGAATGTTGTTTTTAAGTTCAGTCAGAGAATGCCGTTACTGCCCTTTGACCTGCATTCAATAAAGTATTAAAAATGGCCGTGTATTTTTTTCTAACATTTTTTAAATGTGTAAGCACAATGTTTCAAAGGAAATATTGCCACGAGTTTAGTAATTAACAAACAAATTTGCTAAGTACATAAATAAAAACGGGGTCCAATAATATCGCATATCGCAATATTGAGCTGCCCTGACTCACCGCAGGGGGAATTCCTCAATCGCGACAGCCCTACTTCAGATCCCCTACAGGAAGACGACGTTCGGACAAATGGTGCTGTCCGTTAGAGGGAGTCGATTTTGGAACAACATCCCAGCGAATATCAGAGTTTCCCACTTATAGCACCTTTAAAAAGCACCTCACACTACATCGTAAAGGTTCCCAGACATGTTTGCATCTTTAGTTATTCTTATTTTGTTTGTCTATTTTAATGGAATGTTTATATCGGACTGTTTTTAAATTGTATAGAGTTACTTGTTTTACTTAGTTATCTTGTTGACGGGACTACAGATGCAAATTAGCAACTCTGCTAAAATCTGGCCCATTTACGATCGATACGATGTATTTGATTGTTTATTAATGTGCATTGTCCTGAATAAAGTATTGAGCTGAATTTAATTGAATTCTGTCATCCCAAACAAAGAGTTTAATTGTCTGAAATGATTGGATTTTTTTTTTCTGGAACTCTCAAAACCCAAGCCAGCATGTAACAGATTGGGTTCTTCAAACCAGTTTAATTTTCATGTTAAAACCACCCAATGGAGTGGCCAAACTGGAGAGCAAAACCAAGCGACTAACAATCAGCCGCTTGCTAAATGGTTATAAAGTTTAAAACTGGGGTTAGGGTTGAAGCATCCTTGGGAAAGATGCTGAACCCCAAAGTTGACCACGGGCGTGATGGGAATAGCAGGCCACTGCTCTTTACTAATGTAAGGATAGGTGAGATGATGAGAAGACACTTCCCCAAGGGGATCGAAAACGTATAAGAAAACAATTCATCCCAGCTGCATTTTCTCTGTCCGAGTGGTGTGTGCATGTGTAAGATGCTCATCAACTCCGGTGCATATTGGGGTGGGGGGTTGTACTCTGCATGGTTTCCTCAGCAAAAAAACACAGGAATTCACACAGGTGAAGGGGGGATTTCATGGACTCCAAGGGTCTTATTTCCAGCTTGACAGAATGTCTCAAAAAAATTTACATATCAGAAGAAAAAATGTCTCCATAGTGCCAATGGTAACACACACCGTTACTCTATGTAAATTACTTATAAAATAAACGACTTCACCCCCACTAAAAGTTAGAAGGCAAATGTGAGTGAGCTCACCAACAGGGAATGTGTGCATCCAGCGCCGGCGGTTGGAGGTGAGCTTCATAGGCATCCTGGAAGGTGTGAAGGGGTTTATGAGAGCCCTCTGGAGGGTGTAGCCTCCTGGACGGATGTGCAGTGTGGACTCAGCACTACCCACTGTAAACCTGCTTGGTGCACTAGAGTCCCGCTGAGAATCCATCATCTTGTCCAACAACTCTAAACATCAAAATGAGACAAGAAGTAAGAAGACTTTGGCAGGAGAGAACAAATGGTGCTTACACAACAGCGTCGGCACGGTTGGGGTGTGGTGGGGCTGGATGGCGTGAATTCGGTCTCGAATGGACGGTGTATGTTTATGTTTATTTATTTGGCAGACGCTTTTATCCAAAGCGACTTACAATCTGTAACCTATAGGGCATGTTGTGATCTGTGAGTACCCGGAGGAAACCCACGCATGCATGGGGAGAACACGCAACTCCACGCCGAAAAGCCGCAGCCGAGTTTCGAACCTGCAACCTTCGTGCTGCGAGGCAACAGTGCTAACCACTGCGCCACCATGCAGCCACATAAATCACACATAAATCCGAGGGACTTCCCAGGAAAAGGGAAATCCCGTAGCATGTGGGCGGCGTTTAGTACGCACAGTAAAGTCCGCGATGTCCTCCATTATGAGGTAAACAAAGGCGGATATGAGCTGTGTTGCTTTTGGAGACTCTGAACCACATTATTTTATTAATTTGCTGTGTGTGTCCTCATAATTTTGTGTTACACACACACGCACGCACTGATTTCTCCCCTAACAGTTGTCTGCTCGCTGGGCCAAGAGCTCCGATGCAGAGAACAGGCGCACACACACACATACAGAGCTCACTCTCTTCTCCCGTTTCCACTGAGCGGCAGCTCTGTACAGTTTACTGAACAGCATCCAGCATGAAAATTAATTGCGCATGCAGGATCCCCCACCCCCACCACCCGCTGGCTCACTCGCAGATCAGAGGCGGTAGGCGTCATTTCAGCCAGCCAATCAGACCATAGTGTCACCTCGGTCCCAGCCTGACAGCTGGGGAGGATGTCTGAAAAAGTGATACGCCTTGGAACTGAAAACACAAATCTGACGTGCGTGAAACCAAATTCTGGTCCCGGATGGGACCGGACCAACGCTAATGTGTAAGCACCATAACGTCTCATGAGTCCTCCCAGATACCTCTGGTGCTTGTGTATCCCAAAGAGCTGCTGACTTCATACTGGGCCTGAGGAACCCGGGGGATCAGCAGAATGTTAGACACAGGGCCCAGACTATCATCAGACGCGAGGCTTTGTTCTTCTTCTGGTCCAGTAGAGCGAACAGGAGAAGTGCCTACACCTGTGGTAACCTCCACTGAGCCCCGGCTCTTCTTCGCACTCGTCTCCCTCTCTCTCACCATTCTGAAAAAGACAAAGCAGCTGCCAAGTCTCTGTGAGGTTCAAAACAAACAAGCAAAGTATTCAAATAAGAAGAAAGAAGGAAAATATCTAAAATGTCCTTCAAGTTTCACTTTCAGTTGTTTAAGTAGTTAACTATTGATGTGGCATATATGTGATGTCTGATGTGTGAACATGCTAACAACAAACTTTTGCAAGCTGATAAATAAAGTAGTGACTGGCGTGGTCGAAACACATCGAGTGGACGCATCAGCACGGATTGGGATAGATTAACGTCCATTATTGGGATTCTGAGAGGTTGAGGACCAACAAACTGTAAGACAGAGAGGGAATTATCTCTGTCTGGCCCCAAAACAATTTCTAATCGTAATCTGGCGTCCTTGAGCCTGCAAGGCTCCAACGAAAACTCCCCCTCGGAAGATATGTGGAATGTGCCGTCGCTATGGCAACTCAACTCTGCCTCATTTCCCAGCTTAGGCGGGACAGCGGGAAGGCCGCCGAAGCGTCCAGGGTCACTGCAACCCTCCAACCCTCAATGCTCCTCCCCCTATCGACACTGAGGTGACATGCGCTGCTTCATCGTGGCTGCAGGAACTGAAGCTGGGATAGTCCCAATCTACCACCCCTCCTGGTGGACACTTATGTTGTGTAATGTCTGAAGTCTGTTGCATATTTGTCTGAGGTGTTTTTTCGTTGTTGTTGTTTTGCAGAGCAAAGCTGCCCTCCTGCTGGAGGGTAACTCTGAAGTGCCTTTTTTTCCCTCCACCTGAACCAATCCTCATGTTACCCTCTGATCCCTATTAAGGTAGTGCGACTCAGGGTTGTGAATGACCACAGTCACCAATTCTTGTCATGTGTCTTGCCCATGTATGTCTGATCTCTGAATTGTGTGTACTGAAACTCTAATTTCCCTCTGGGATTAATAAAGTATCTTTGAATTGATTGATTGATTACTTTCACCTAAATATAAGAACAACATATTCAAGGCGTAAGGCACAGGGGACCAATAAGTCTTTTAGCCTCATTGACTTTCATTTTGTTGTTCTTCTGGGGACCCGTGGGCCGACCAGAAAGGGAGGAGACTTAAGCTCCCATCGAGCCTTTTAACACAAGAGCTTCAGTCTAATTATTGCTGTTTTATACCATGTTTTCAGCAGCAGACCACGGTCTTGTTTCACTTGAAACATGTCAAATGAAATATTCGATTAATCAGACTGGCCAGACTGGAGCTGTGGCAGAATGACTACACGTTTGTTAAGGTGAAAATGTCGACCAGTAGAAAGGATGTGGATGACGGATAGGTTACGGAGCTCTTTTCAGGTGTTAAGACTGTCTCTGAGACTATCAGGAGGCTGTGAGGGATGCTAGGAGGGTGCATTTCTCAAACGCAATACTCTCGGCGCATCACAGGCAATCAATGCTTTTGAAAGTATTTGATAATATCCTCAATATTTACCAACCAGTGGGTAAACATAGTGGACACAGTGGACAAAATAGTCGATATCAGAGCCCAGGTTTCGTCAGTATGTCAGACACTTTCTGGTTCTTGTTCAGCTACTTTTAGTCAGTTTGAGTCGCTTACGTTGGACTGCCTTTGGGATTTTGTAAAGTCTTTAAAACCTGCTGGTTCTACCTTAGACTTGATGTCCCCTAGGCATTTAAAAGTTGTTGTTTTTTTCATCAGTTGGTCCTTGGGTTCTAGCTATTATTAATCAGAGCATTGTCTCTGGAGTAGTACCAGGGAACTGAAAACATGCGGTAGTTCAGCCTTTACTGAAGAAGGCTGGACTTGACTCATCTGCCTTGTCCAGTTATTGACCCATCTCCAGACTGCCTTTTGTTTCTAAAGTACTGGAGATGGTAATTTACTCACAGTTGACTGAGTATTTGATTGGAAATGACATCTTGGAAAAACTCCAGTCTGGTTTTAAGCCAGTCCACTCCGGGTTTTTTATGACATTTTATTGGCAACTGATTCTGGAGATTTTATTTTGGTATTGTTGGACCTTTAGGCTGCATTCAATACTGTGGATTATTCTCTCCTGATTTCAAGGATGGAACACTTTGTGGGTGTTTGCGGGGTCGCGCTGGATTGGTTTGTGTCATACCCGACTAGAACAGTGGTTCCCAACCTTTTTTCCAAGGGACCCCCTTTTTTACCAGTAAAATTTTTGACGACCCCCTCCCATTCTCTCTTCCGTTACAAACAGTATTAATAAATGATAAAATTGTTCAAGCACATTTTAATACGCTTTGATTCAATAGATAACAGTAATAGTAGCCTCCAGTACAGAACAAAGTCATTAACAAAACCAAACAGAGCATAATGTGCTTAACAGTTTGTATTACTTTTCTGAACACATTGTTTCTTGTAAACACTGATAAATCAATCATTCCTTTCAATAAATGTTTTACACATAATACACTGAGCAAAATGTACTTAAATGTGTATATTACTGTTTATACTAGATTATTTACTGTAAAGGCTGTGATTAATCAACCAGTCCTATCTGTAATGAACTTTTGACACTTGAAAATAAAACAGTGAGTAAAAAGTTCTTAAAAGTGTGTTACTTTTTCTGTACTAATTATTTCCTGTCTTAATATCAGTAAACCTTTCACTCATGAAAAAATGTGAGCAAAATGTAGGCTATAAACAAGTAATAAATGAAGTTTTAACCCCTTAAAGTGGAGAGGTCTTGGCAACCCACTGGGAGGCTTTAGCGCCCCCTTATGGGGGTCGGGACCCCCAGGTTAGGAACCACTGGACTAGCAGAACCTTCAGTGTCTCACTGGGAGATTTTACTTCCTCTAGTGCTTCATTCTCTTGCGAGGTTCCTCAGGGTCAGTGTCATTTTCACTGCTATGAAGATGATACCCAGGTATATGTGCTTTTTAAGAGGGGCCACATTCATGCTTTGCTGTCTCTTTTAGATTGTTTTGTTGAGGTTAGGCAATAGATGTTCTCTAACTTCTTTTTTAATGATAAAAAGACAGAGGTTGTAGTCTTTGGTTCAAGTACTTTGTCTAGGGCGGGTGCAGTGGACTTTGGTCAGCTCGCCCCATTCTTAATGCTGAGCGTGACTTCCCTGGGTGTTGCACTGGATGAAGATCTTGTCTTGGACTGGCAGATCAGTGCTGTGACTAAATCCAGTTTTTATCAATTAACTCATTCACTGCCAATTGATTCCTAATCAGTAAAGCCCTTCGCTGCCAGTGTTTTTCAGTGTTTTTGCTGTTTTTTAAGAGTCACAGAATGTTGCGCGCTAGGATGATGTCAACGCCAAAACAAAGTGGAGACTCACCTCTTACATCAGCAAGAATCCGCGCGTTCCGAGCGTTATCCGTTCTTTCATAATCCGTTGTCGAATTGTGATCGGCAGAAGCTTTTCCGGTTCGCGCCTCACTTTTTTAACAGCAGCGGCCCAAAACGATCTCCTAACACATGGATGTTCTGCTTCCTGATCACATGACATGTGACGTACGCGGATGAAGATCGGCTTTAGAGCTGAGATGTTTGTTCACAGAGTGTGGGGGCTCGTTCCGACGCCCACACAGTAAAAAAATGCAAATGACGACTGTAGTTGTCATTGGCAGTGAACGGTTGATTTAAAATGACGACTTTTCTTGTCAATGGCAGTGAATGAGTTAAGAAGGATCGCCAAAGTAAAGTCCTTGCTGTCAAAGAGAGATTTAGAAATGGTAATTAATGTTTTCATTACATCAAGGCTTGATTACTGTAATTCTTTGTACCTTGGTGTTCCACAATCTCACCACTCACGTATTCAGTTGGTGCAGAATGCTGCTGCACGGCTGCTCACTAGGATGAAAAACATGGAGCACATTACTCCTGTCCTGGCCTCGGCTGCCGGTTCCTTTTAGAATCCACTACAAGGTGCTTTAATGGGCTTTTAAATCTCTGCATGGCCTTGCTCCAGATTACCTCTCTGTGATGCTGGTGTTTTACTCCCCTGCACGGTCTCTGTGGTTGGCTGATGGGATGCTCTTGGAAGTCCCAAAAACAAAATGTAAGCTCAGAGGTGACAGGGCTTCTCTGTAGCCCCTTAGGCTCTGGAATGAGCTGCCTTTGAGCATCAGGTCAGCCTCTTCACTGTCTGGTTTTAAATCTCTTGAAAACCTATTTTATGATTTGGCCTTTAGCTCAACATGAGTCTTTTTTAGTGTTTTCTACGAGGTACTTTGGTTGGTTTTATACTGTTGTAAGGTGCTATACAAATAAAGTTGCTTTGCCTTGCCAAGCTGCCTTGAACGTAACTACCTTTTCTACCACATAAAATGCCCAGTTTATGCCTGTATCGAGAAATGGTCAGTTTTTCATCTACAGTTTGACCTCTTCAGTATCCGGTCACATGGAGACGTAAGTCTTCACTGGTGCCTTTAATCTGCAAGAAAGATTCGGCACTACGTGTTTACACTCAGATTGTCAACATCACGCTCCCTTCCCAAGGTTCTTCTCTGCCAAGCCTGTCTGCTTATCTAGGCTGTCCTGCACAGAATAAAGGACTGAACCGTTATAATAACGAATACTGGATGATGCAATGAAATACGTAAATAATCATATGGTCGAATGAACAATAATGGCTGAAGAATAACAACAATGTTTCGATTAATCTGTGCTTAAATTACTTAAGTTGAAATTAATATTATTATGTTATGATCAGTAAAGTTTGATTTAACGAGTGAATCACTATCTATGTGACAAGCTCACACACACTCGTACACATGATGAAGATGACAAGGTTTAATCTCATGACACATTGTTTTCTGATCCACAAATCAGAGCTCGTGATTGGTAAAACCCTCGTAACATGGCAAGTTGTGATTTGCCATAAAAACATAACAAGGGAATAATAAAACACGATCACTTCCCGAGTTATTCAGTTCGTTGCAGTTCATCGAGTCGAGTGGAGTTTGTTTCCAGCTGAGATTCCGGAGTGGCCAATCTGGAATCAGCCTCTTTGAAACATCTCTCCGACACAGTCAAAACCTTTTTGCACGCTGCAAAGCTGACAGCAAGACTCCTTAAGACGCCAACCGTTTTAGATGCAAAACGAGTCCACCTGTTGTTGTGACCTGGAGACGACTCTGGACTGACCTGGTCGTACTGCGGTTTTTTCTACGAACTTCAGTACCTTGGGGTCAGCCGACCCCCGACATCTCGGATCCGAAAGATAGTCTCCTCGTGGAGACGTAGAACACAGTAAGATTGCGTCTGATTCCGTTTTATAAACCATCACTTATAGTGTAACTCAGACCAAAGTCAACCACACTCAGAACCCAGTTTCCTCCAGATACGAGGGTTCTGATAACATCACATTCACACATCATACACTCATCACCTCACAGTTTCCTAGTTGTCACGTGTTATAATTTGTTTAGAAAATAAATTTGTTATTTTCATAAACGACTTTGTCTGAATTAATACGAAGTGTACTTACGGTACCTGAATAAACAAAGAATCCTAATTCTTCTGGTTAAACCCTTTAAGACCAATCAGGTTGGATTTCCATATTCATATAGAAATTCACATCTTATTGGGCAAATGTAGTATAGTACATTGAGCTTAAAAGCACCCAAAATACATTACGTATGCTACACTACATCTGTGATAGCCTGCTAGTTTCCAGCTACACGTTGGTGTCTGAATCCCTGCCTGCCGTAAATTATATGACATTATGGTGATTTTGTCCAAGAAACAAAGACTACTGATGTAGAAGAACTACATCAGTAAAATTTTATGCAATTTTTATTCCGTTTGAAAATGTTTATCTCGGGATGAATCTAAAAAGTCATGTTTGTTGTTTTAAAAGGTTAAATTAGATCTTGTCCACCTGATTCTAATCCATCCAAATCACGTGATCAGGCCCAATTTCCAATCATGTGATCGGATTGGAACATCCTTACTGATGACATCATAGATCATACACTTCTTCTTCAGAAGCTACAAAGATATGGTATTCGTGGTACAGCTTATGCTTGGGTGGCAAGCTACCTTAGTGAAAGAGACCAGTTTGTGCATATCAATAATGTTGATTCAAGAAAGGAGTTCATTACTCATGGAGTCCCACAAGGGTCTATTTTGGGACCTAAATTATTCATAATGTATATTAATGATGTGTGTGCGGTTCTAGATAAAGTAAATTGTTTGTTGTATGCAGATGACACCAGCCTTTATTGTTCTGGTGACGACCTAAACAAGCTTGTTGATTTAGTTGAAAAAGAACTGGCAGTGTTAAAAGGATGGTTTGATAGGAATAAACTTTCTATGAATGTGACCAAAACAAAGTTCATTATATTTGGAAACAGGAAAATTACTAATGAAATTATTATAAAAATAAATGGTATTGTAATTGAACAAGTACACACATATAAATTTTTAGGAATTACTATAGATGAAAAACTGAGTTGGAAGCCTCATATTGATGATATAAAGTTAAAAATATCAAAAAATATAGGACTTATGAGTAGAATGAGATTTGTTTTGAATATTAAATCCCTTCAGATACTCTATAACTCATTTATTTTACCATATCTGAGCTATGGTGTTGAAATATGGGGAAATAATTACAGAGCAAATATTTATCCTATATATTTACTTCAAAAAAAGGTAGTTCAAATAATTTCCCATGCTAACTATTTTGCTCCAACAAATCCTATCTTTATCCATTTAAAAGCTCTAAAATTTTACGATATTATTGACCTGCATACACTGGTTGTAGTATATCAGGCATATCAGGCTCAACTTCCACCTTATCTCCAAAGGATGTTTGAACTAAGGGAAGGAGGATATAGTCTAAGAGGAACTGGGATTTTCAAAAAAAAGAATATTAGAACCAATAAAAAACAAAGATGAATCTCAGTAAGAGGAGTGAGTTTATGGAATAGCCTCGAGGATAGATTAAAAAATTCATGCTCGTTGAAAACATTCAAAAAGAGTTTTAAAAATAATGCCTTACGTAATTACCAAGTGCACCAAAATTAGTTTTGTCACACGATATATACCTCTTGATTGATTTCAATTGTTTTTGTTTTATTCATGTTATATCTCTTGATTGATTTTGTTGAAATTAGGATGATGCATGTAATAATTGTATTGTTTATATGTTTATTTACTTTTGATATTTATGACAATGTTGTTTTTTTTGTAATGAATTAATGGGTAGGCTTAAATAAGTTTAACTTCAGCCTATACCTTTTCGCTCATAAATTATATCTAAAGAAACTGTTTAATTTATAAGAGGAATTTGTACCTGTGATAATTATTATTATGTTCTTTATTAGATAATTATTTTCCTTTTCATGTGTTTTCTATGTATTTGTTATGACGGGAAAAAAAATGAATGAATGAATGAATGACTCACCCACCCTAATCCATCTATCTCCTAAATTATTAAATTATAATAATAAAGATTATGTTTCCAACAAACAAGAAAACTGACCAGAAAACAAGATCCAATAATCTGATGAAACATCTTCCTCTAACTGGAGCAAACTAGACTACATCCACCTATGACGACACCTGGGAGATACATGGAGGACAGAAGGGAGCATGTATTTGGACTGGTGGTGACTGAGTGTGTGTCGGAAAATCATCTGTTTAATTCTGCTGCTTGTCCTGTGACTTCAGTACTAGGGTGATCTGATCTCTTACATCCTATTGATGGGGGATGAAAAATGAAAAATGAAAAACATTAAAAACCAGAAGTTGTCTATGAAGCTGACTGAAAAACCTGAAGTTTGTGCTCCTCTGAATTCTTGATGGACCTGGAAGTCTGAACACCTGGTCGTCATAAGCTTCGTAGTCCACCTGTATTGGTAGACTGTTGTCTGAATCCTTTGGTGCACAAAGAGCTTAGAAGCACAGACAAAATCATTAAGATGTTTATGCAGAATAGGAATTAATATAAGTAGAAAGAAAATAAACTAAAACTTACTGTGACCTTTGCTGCTCTTAAATGTTTCTGCATGAAGCTAAAAGGTTAAACAAATGATTAAAACAAACAAAACACAAAGACCAAAGAAGTGAGGAGAACAGACGCACTATAGATGGTACCTTCTGTCCAGCCAGTTTGATCCGTGGGGTGAAGGAGCTACAGGAATTCAGACTTTTGGAGGTGTAGAAGCTGTAAACATGGAGGAAAACGTAAACAATAAATAAAACTTCTTTAGCACAGAAATAAAACAATATAGGAAATGTTAGCGATTGCCAAAACAATCCAGTGTCTCTTTAAGGACTTTTGTACTTTTGCTTCATGACAAACAGGAATTTCATTTTTCATTTCATAGTATGTTTATGCACCTGTCTGGAGTCCATGCACCATGACACAGTTACAGCCAAGGAGCCATGTCAACTAGGGATGTTTGATATTGGCTTTTTAACAGATATCCAATATCTTACTCTTACATTCCAATACTGATATAAACCAATACTGATACACGCCGGGCTCCCCCAATCAAAAATAAATAAATAAATAAATCACGCATCTCCTGTTTATGCTTACGCTTTAAAGTCTATCAGTGCAAAACTGCAACTACTTCAATTTAAGTTAGCAACAGAAAAAAATGTCCTGATTTAATTTGTCCTCAAATGTTGAATGACATCCTCCCGGAGATAATCCTGACAAACACTCTGTGACACCTTTAGACAACAGATGGGTTCATGTGCTCTGGGGCAACTCCTGGATCTCTGGGACTTGGAGCTCCCTCTGTCTCCTACACATCTTTAGGGGGCAGATCTGTGGCCCCACACACTCTCTATTGGACGCTCCTATAGAGAAACCTTACATAAACAAGCGCGTGTACACACACAGGTGCTCTCATAAGTATGGACTTGAGCACGTTCAACACGTCTTAAGGCTGTGGTTGGCACTAAATGCACTGTGATTTATTATCATGTGATTGTTCAGTAAAACAATGTTGATTACATATTTCTTCTTCAAGTTGACGCAGTGATAGCTAGATCTTGTTGTTGTGTCACATTTTATTTTTTTTTTTTCTGCAGGTCTAGAAGCAGACTCTTGTTCATTATTGTTTATTTTTGTGGAACCCCCCCACACCACCTTTTGTCTCTTCCTTTCTCTTTCACCTCTGCCTCCGTGTCTGGTCGGAATTAAATGAGTTATGCGAGTGCCGCTCTGTCTCATCGGCTGCAGAGTGCCGTCTCTGACTGTGATTGGTCAAAGGATGACACGTGACTAACACACTAGAACAAAGATTGTTTGTGAACAAGAGGAGTCCCTCGTCTCCTTTCTCTGATTGATTTCCATAAGAGTGACTGAAACCCATCACTGAAACCCGACAGAAGACCCCCCCCATAACAAAAACTCTTCGGATCTACATGACTCACATGAACGCCACATTTGGCTTCAAAAACGGCAATTTTTGCCAAAAAGTGACAAGTTTGCAGGTTTGAATCTGACAGCCAATCAGAACAATGGAAGACTCACTATTCACCCTTGAACAGGGTGTGTCGTGTTCCGTGCGTCAGGTTATCAAACATATAGCGAAAAGTTTCACTGATCGCAGTCGTTTGTTTCCTCCCGTGTGTCAGGGCAATTACTGTCAAAGGTGCGTATTTGACCCTTTGACCTAATCAACATGAGTCTCTGGCAGAGCTCAGAATGGGGGCAATATGGCATCCAGTAATGAAAAGTTTAGAAAGAGGGTGTTGCTTTGGAGGCGCGGCAGTTAGACATCACGCCATGGAATTACGTTTTCCTTTCATTTCCTCAATTCTCATCTCATCTGCACAAAACGTGACATGCGTGTCACTAACATATGTGTGTGCATCGGGTCCCAACGCTTGGCCAGAGTGGCGTTGAGCAAGGGCCGAAGGACGCTGCTTGCAGCTTTAATTTGAGATTTCAACAGGAATTTAAATTGATGTTCCCATCTTGCCTGTGGTTGATCCAGTGTGGAAGGTTGTAGTCATCTCCTACGCGTAAATCTCTCGCTGTTGTCCTGTTGTGCAGCTGAAGAAGAAATGACTCCGTCATTCACAAACTGTTAGACACAAAAACACAATAACTGATTAACTTACCTTGAATAAAGGCACAGCGTGCAGCGGCTGCTCCCCCATACACACCAGGTCTACACCAATACCTAAATAAGAATCATCACCACCATCACTGTTGTCAAAATCATCAACATCACAGTCACTGGTATCATCATCATTACCAACAGCATGATGGTCGTCATCATAGTCAACATTATCATCATCATCTTCACTGTCATAGTCATTATCACTATCCTCATCATCACCACCATCAATATCATTGTCATCACCAGCATCATTACCGTCACATTTGTCATCATCACCACGATAACCATAATCATCATCATCCACATAACCATGATCAACATTATCATCATCATCTTCACTGTCATAGTCATTATCACTATCCTCATCATCACCACCATCAATATCATCGTCATCACCAGCATCATTACCGTCACATTTGTCATCATCACCACGATAACCATAATCATCATCATCCACATAACCATGATCAACATTATCACCACCATCACCTCCACTGTCGTCATCCTCATAATCATCACCAGTCGTCATCAACATTATCACCATAACTGTCACCAACGTCACCATCATCATCACCAGTCATCATCAACATTATCACCATAACTGTCAACAACGTCACCATCATCATCACCAGTCATCATCAACATTATCACCATAACTGTCACCAACGTCACCATCATCATCGCCAGTCATCATCAACATTATCACCATAACTGTCAACAACGTCACCATCATCATCACCAGTCATCATCAACATTATCACCATAACTGTCACCAACGTCACCATCATCATCACCAGTCATCATCAACATTATCACCATAACTGTCACCAACGTCACCTTCATCATCACCAGTCGTCATCAACATTATCACCATAACTGCCACCAACGTCACCATCATCATCACCAATCATCATCAACATTATCACCATAACTGTCACCAACGTCACCTTCATCATCACCAGTGGTCATCAACATTATCACCATAACTGCCACCAACGTCACCATCATCATCACCATTCATCATCAACATTATCACCATAACTGTCACCAACGTCACCATCATCATCACCAGTCATCATCAACATTATCACCATAACTGTCACCAACGTCACCATCATCATCACCAGTCATCATCAACATAATCACCATAACTGTCACCAACGTCACCATCATCATCACCATAACTGCCACCAACGTCACCATCATCATCACCAGTCATCATCAACATTATCACCATAACTGTCACCAACGTCACCATCATCATCACCAGTCATCATCAACATTATCACCATAACTGTCACCAACGTCACCATCATCATCACCATAACTGTCACCAACATCACCATCATCATCACCAGTCATCATCAACATTATCACCATAACTGCCACCAACGTCACCATCATCATCACCAGTCATCATCAACATTATCACCATAACTGCCACCAACGTCACCATCATCATCACCAATCATCATCAACATTATCACCATAACTGTCACCAACGTCACCTTCATCATCACCAGTGGTCATCAACATTATCACCATAACTGCCACCAACGTCACCATCATCATCACCATTCATCATCAACATTATCACCATAACTGTCACCAACGTCACCATCATCATCACCAGTCATCATCAACATTATCACCATAACTGTCACCAACGTCACCATCATCATCACCAGTCATCATCAACATAATCACCATAACTGTCACCAACGTCACCATCATCATCACCATAACTGCCACCAACGTCACCATCATCATCACCAGTCATCATCAACATTATCACCATAACTGTCACCAACGTCACCATCATCATCACCAGTCATCATCAACATAATCACCATAACTGTCACCAACGTCACCATCATCATCACCATAACTGCCACCAACGTCACCATCATCATCACCAGTCATCATCAACATTATCACCATAACTGTCACCAACGTCACCATCATCATCACCAGTCATCATCAACATAATCACCATAACTGTCACCAACGTCACCATCATCATCACCATAACTGTCACCAACATCACCATCATCATCACCAGTCATCATCAACAGTATCACCATAACTGTCACCAACGTCACCATCATCATCACCAGTCATCATCAACATTATCACCATAACTGTCACCAACGTCACCATCATCATCACCAGTCATCATCAACATTATCACCATAACTGTCACCAACGTCACCATCATCATCACCATAACTGCCACCAACGTCACCATCATCATCACCAGTCATCATCAACATTATCACCATAACTGTCACCAACGTCACCATCATCATCACCATAACTGCCACCAACGTCACCATCATCATCACCAGTCATCATCAACATTATCACCATAACTGTCACCAACATCACCATCATCATCACCAGTCATCATCAACAGTATCACCATAACTGTCACCAACGTCACCATCATCATCACCAGTCATCATCAACATTATCACCATAACTGTCACCAACGTCACCATCATCATCACCAGTCATCATCAACATTATCACCATAACTGTCACCAACGTCACCATCATCATCACCATAACTGTCACCAACATCACCATCATCATCACCAGTCATCATCAACATTATCACCATAACTGTCACCAACGTCACCATCATCATCACCAGTCATCATCAACATTATCACCATAACTGCCACCAACGTCACCATCATCATCACCAATCATCATCAACATTATCACCATAACTGTCACCAACGTCACCTTCATCATCACCAGTGGTCATCAACATTATCACCATAACTGCCACCAACGTCACCATCATCATCACCATTCATCATCAACATTATCACCATAACTGTCACCAACGTCACCATCATCATCACCAGTCATCATCAACATTATCACCATAACTGTCACCAACGTCACCATCATCATCACCAGTCATCATCAACATAATCACCATAACTGTCACCAACGTCACCATCATCATCACCATAACTGCCACCAACGTCACCATCATCATCACCAGTCATCATCAACATTATCACCATAACTGTCACCAACGTCACCATCATCATCACCAGTCATCATCAACATAATCACCATAACTGTCACCAACGTCACCATCATCATCACCATAACTGCCACCAACGTCACCATCATCATCACCAGTCATCATCAACATTATCACCATAACTGTCACCAACGTCACCATCATCATCACCAGTCATCATCAACATAATCACCATAACTGTCACCAACGTCACCATCATCATCACCATAACTGTCACCAACATCACCATCATCATCACCAGTCATCATCAACAGTATCACCATAACTGTCACCAACGTCACCATCATCATCACCAGTCATCATCAACATTATCACCATAACTGTCACCAACGTCACCATCATCATCACCAGTCATCATCAACATTATCACCATAACTGTCACCAACGTCACCATCATCATCACCATAACTGCCACCAACGTCACCATCATCATCACCAGTCATCATCAACATTATCACCATAACTGTCACCAACGTCACCATCATCATCACCATAACTGCCACCAACGTCACCATCATCATCACCAGTCATCATCAACATTATCACCATAACTGTCACCAACATCACCATCATCATCACCAGTCATCATCAACAGTATCACCATAACTGTCACCAACGTCACCATCATCATCACCAGTCATCATCAACATTATCACCATAACTGTCACCAACGTCACCATCATCATCACCATAACTGTCACCAACGTCACCATCATCATCACCAGTCATCATCAACATTATCACCATAACTGTCACCAACGTCACCATCATCATCACCATAACTGCCACCAACGTCACCATCATCATCACCAGTCATCATCAACATTATCACCATAACTGTCACCAACGTCACCATCATCATCACCAGTCATCATCAACAGTATCACCATAACTGTCACCAACGTCACCATCATCATCACCAATCATCATCAACATTATCACCATAACTGCCACCAACGTCACCATCATCATCACCAGTCATCATCAACATTATCACCATAACTGCCACCAACGTCACCATCATCATCACCATAACTGCCACCAACGTCACCATCATCATCACCAGTCATCATCAACATTATCACCATAACTGTCACCAACATCACCATCATCATCACCAGTCGTCATCAACATTATCACCATAACTGCCACCAACGTCACCATCATCATCACCAGTCGTCATCAACATTATCACCATAACTGTCACCAACGTCACCATCATCATCACCAGTCATCATCAACATTTTCACCATAACTGTCACCAACGTCACCATCATCATCACCAGTCATCATCAACATAATCACCATAACTGCCACCAACGTCACCATCATCATCACCAGTCATCATCAACATTATCACCATAACTGCCACCAACGTCACCATCATCATCACCAGTCATCATCAACATTATCACCATAACTGTCACCAACGTCACCATCATCATCACCAGTCATCATCAACATTATCACCATAACTGTCACCAACGTCACCATCATCATCACCAGTCATCATCAACATAATCACCATAACTGTCACCAACGTCACCATCATCATCACCAGTCATCATCAACATTATCACCATAACTGCCACCAACGTCACCATCATCATCACCAGTCATCATCAACATTATCACCATAACTGTCACCAACGTCACCATCATCATCACCAGTCATCATCAACATTATCACCATAACTGTCACCAACGTCACCATCATCATCACCAGTCATCATCAACATTATCACCATAACTGTCACCAACGTCACCATCATCCTCACCAGTCATCATCAACATAATCACCATAACTGTCACCAACGTCACCATCATCATCACCAGTCATCATCAACATAATCACCATAACTGTCACCAACGTCACCATCATCATCACCAGTCATCATCAACATTATCACCATAACTGTCACCAACGTCACCATCATCATCACCAGTCATCATCAACATTATCACCATAACTGTCACCAACGTCACCATCATCATCACCAGTCATCATCAACATAATCACCATAACTGTCACCAACGTCACCATCATCATCACCAGTCATCATCAACATAATCACCATAACTGTCACCAACGTCACCATCATCATCACCAGTCATCATCAACATTATCACCATAACTGTCACCAACGTCACCATCATCATCACCAGTCATCATCAACATTATCACCATAGCTGTCACCAACGTCACCATCATCATCACCAGTCATCATCAACATTATCACCATAACTGTCACCAACGTCACCATCATCATCACCAGTCATCATCAACATTATCACCATAACTGTCACCAACGTCACCATCATCATCACCAGTCATCATCAACATTATCACCATAACTGTCACCAACGTCACCATCATCATCACCAGTCATCATCAACATTATCACCATAACTGTCACCAACGTCACCATCATCATCACCAGTCATCATCAACATTATCACCATAACTGCCACCAATGTCACCATCATCATCGCCAGTCATCATCAACATTATCACCATAACTGCCACCAACGTCACCATCATCATCGCCAGTCATCATCAACATTATCACCATAACTGTCACCAACGTCACCATCATCATCACCAGTCATCATCAACATTATCACCATAACTGTCACCAACGTCACCATCATCATCACCAGTCATCATCAACATTATCACCATAACTGTCACCAACGTCACCATCATCATCACCAGTCATCATCAACATAATCACCATAACTGTCACCAACGTCACCATCATCATCACCAGTCATCATCAACATTATCACCATAACTGTCACCAACGTCACCATCATCATCACCAGTCATCATCAACATTATCACCATAACTGTCACCAACGTCACCATCATCATCACCAGTCGTCATCAACATTATCACCATAACTGTCACCAACATCACCATCATCATCACCAGTCGTCATCAACATTATCACCATAACTGTCACCAACGTCACCATCATCATCACCAGTCATCATCAACATTATCACCATAACTGTCACCAACGTCACCATCATCATCACCAGTCATCATCAACATTATCACCATAACTGTCACCAACGTCACCATCATCATCACCAGTCGTCATCAACATTATCACCATAACTGTCACCAACGTCACCATCATCATCACCAGTCGTCATCAGCACAGTCACTGGGATCATCTTCGACATTACTAACATCGTCAACGTCATCATCGTCAAAACTATTATCATTTTCACTTTCATAATCACCATAAATATACTTGTCATCGTCATCATCACTACTGTCATCATCATGTCTTCTTTGACAACAGAAAAACAGCAGACAACTGCTCACTGACCGTTGTCGATCATCCGCTGTTTGGTGAGAATCATAAGCAGACGGTCCACTTCAAGCACCCCCACTCCAGGTGTGACCACCACAGACATCTGGCCAGTGCGGTCAAAGTTACGGTTGATGTAGTGCTTGTCGAAAACTGAGAAAAATGTAGATATTCTTGTTAATTTTCCACAATGACCTCTACTGATCTGTCTGCTGAAACATCTACAGATGTAAATTGTAGATTAAATGCATACAAGTAGGACCAGTAGGTATGGTTTCCAACCAATTATACATGAAACTTGTTAGAACTATGTTCTCCAATGACTACTATTGACTACTAATTTTTAGTTTGTTTATTTCAAACATTAAAAGATCAAAATAAATAGACAACTGCTGACAATCAACATTGTTTGAAATGGAAGTATGTTGAAGTTAGTGTAAGGATTTGAAGGTGGTTAATTTTATTGTCAATTGAATATAAAGGTAATCAATAAAATTTAATATTGCATAAAAATATGGATTATCAACATTATTGAGCGTATATTTGATTGATGGCGAAACAAGGTACTTTAGGTAGTGCAGGGCAACAACACTTTATAATAATTTGACAGAGATAAAAACAGTTTATAAAAATCTATTTATAACTATATTAATGACAATGAAAGGCAAATGATTATAAATGGCCTGTATTTATGTATATATATATATATATATATATATATATATATATATAAATGGTGATTCAAAGTCATATTAAATGAAACAACGAATGAACTCTGATAAAACATGACCTTGCGTGTTTTAAGAGCTTTACTAAGTGACTCAGATTGGTGTGATGTCTGGTTTTATCAAATAAATTTGGCTGTTTGATGTAATTTAAATAAAAAATGACCCACACTTGTATAGCGCCTCTCAGAGTAAGGACTCCAAAGCGCTTTACACTACAGTGTATCATTCATCCATTCACACACTCATTCTGATGGTGATGAGCTACGATGTAGCCACAGCTACCCTGGGGCGCACTGACAGAGGCGAGGCTGCTGAGCACAGGCGCCACCGGTCCCTCTGACCACCACCAGCAGGCAAGGTGGGTTAAATGTCATGCCCGAGGACACAACAGCAGAATTCTCAGTCCGGAGCCGGGATTGAACCTGCAACCTTCCGATTACTGGACAACCCGCTCTACCTAACAAGTTAGCAAATTAATATCAACAACTCTGAGGCCATTGAATTGTCTACACACCAGGATTGTGGAAGGTCTTGGGGATCCGGTCTGCAGGCAAAGCTTCTGATGTATCTGAAAGTCGTAGGCCCCCTCAGAATACGCACAACTGGTCAAAAGATATTTCCCAGGTGGCTTCTCGATCAATCAGATTTTATTTATACAGCGCTTTACAAGCAAAGTGCGATTCAAAGTGCTTTACAGAATTAAAATGACCCCAAATTCCCATAACAGTCACACACACACACACACACACACACACACACACACACACACACCTGAAATAAAACACCTATATAAACTAAGGTGGGGAGGCTAAGAGACATGAAGAAAACCAGGAGGGAGCTGGGGACAAAAAGGCTGGAGCTACAAGGACACAGAACGTGAAGGAACACCTGGAGGGGCTGGGGATGACTGAATGAACACAGGACCTGGGAGGAATGATCTAAAGGGCTAAAAACAGAAGACACATGAAGAACACAAAGAGACACATAAATGAGATGCAGAAAAATGACACATGAGGGCGCAATGAGACACAAAAGGGGAACCTAGAGGGGGATGGAGAACAAGGGGAGACACATGAGGGAAGACGCAGACCATGACAGAGTCGGCTGCATGACTAAAATTCATGTAATTCAGAATATTTAAGAACTCCTTTGAAAAAGGATCAGAAGGATTTTCTATGTGTAGATTGAAATCCCCGGCTAAAATTATCCTTTCAAAGGAGTCGTGCAGGATTGATTAAAAACTCTGAAAATTCTTGAATAGGAGGCCGATAAACTGTGACACATAAAATCTGAGGAGAGCTAAAAACTGCTGCTGTATATTCAAAAGTGGTAAAGTAATCAAATAAAACAGGTTTGGCGAAAAGTATTGATGAATTAATAAAAGCAGTACTGCTTCCCCTT